TATGTCTAAATTGACTGATTTTTCACTTTTCTTAACATTGGTGGGAAGATATAAATACTGGAAAGTCATACTGTTTTGTTCTCGTGAATGAACAAACTTCGTTAGGTAATTTTTTTTAAAGGTTCATATTAACAGAATAATAAAAAGTCATTAGATAGAAATCGGTTCACCACACTAAATGGTTGCATTACAGATATGACTAAAAGAATTCTGTCAGGACTGTGAAATGAACAACAGGAGTTTTCTTACCTATGAAGTCTCGTTCAATGTGCACAATTCAATTCATTACGAAGTTAGCCATCGCAATATTTTCTTTATACAAAATTATTAGGATTAGTAAGATTTAATCCTAATAATCAGGTTTCAGCTTCATAGACTGTGGGCGACTTGGAAAATTCATATCCAGTAACTAAGGTTTTTATGATAATTATATTTATTTTTCTATCAAATATTTTGTATATCATTTTAATGAACACGAACCAATTCTCTTTGCTGACCGGTTGTTCTGTCGTTTTTTTTTAACATTCAGTTCGTCAAATACTATACATCGATAATTCAGTTTTCATGACTTATTGTCATTTAGCTACCAAACATTATGCATTAATGCTAAACTATTGATAGTACATCCAAATTTATACGGTTATAGAATTTTCATTCTTTACAACTTATTGTTCCTTGAATGATAATTGATGTTATGTATGTTAAGTCCTTTTTAATACTGCACGAATCCTGTCAATCAAGTTGCAATATAACCATTTGTCTAAGTGACTTATTATCTTCTATAATGTGTTTAGATGTGATGTGGTGGTTGTGGCTAGTCAACAGTAAACACTACTCAATTTAGGTTTCTCTTATTTTGGCACTAGTTAACAAAATGTATCTGTAATCTTGAGGGGACTGATACTACTTGGTAAATTTGAGCACATATCACCTAAATTCACAGACAATGACCCCTGAGCTACACGGAGTGTAAATAACCTTCTATTGAACTGAAATTTATATACATGTGATTAATCACTGAGTATAGACCTATATCATGTTTATCAAATTATTTTATCTATTCTATTACAATAATAATCACAATATTAAAGATCATAATAATAAATAACAGATTTTATTGGTCATTATCTATACAACAAATAGAAATCTAAATACATCTTTGATTACCAATAGATCTAATAATTATTTCAATTATAATTTTTAGTTAAGATAAAAATGTCCCACAATAGAACGAAACAACCGTCCAGTGCTTCCAGGTTTTCCATAATGGTCTAGCTTCAATTGACTCATGATCTCAACTATTGCAATCACTACAATTTCCACAAACCTCCTTCTGAAAAAAATATGTATAATTCATTATGAGAAACTAATAATTATGATGAATATATCTATCATTCTCATGTTAAAAGTTATTATTATTTTTTTTAAAAAAAAAATATATATATATACAGTAAGATAAGTGTTTCTCTTTTCCCCGGAAGGCATTATTTTACATTTAAAAGCCACTTGAACGTTTAGTTTTATTTCGTAGTTTTTTTGGAAAAAAAAACAAAAAATTCTAATCTGCACGACAAAAGTTTGTAAAACGATTTATATAGACATATTTTTTGAAAAGTAAATTCTCCATTTCTACAATTTTGCCTGATATACATTAAATAACTGATAATTAATTTGAATATTTAATCTAGTTTCTAAGGTTCATTGTAAATTTTGTATAATTTGACATTTTACTTTGATTAGTACAGTGGATGAGTTGATGTGTTGGTATTTAAAGTAAAAGGTAAATATGTAAAATATGAAAAAAAAATCAACGCTAAGATGCGGAAGTATTGAGTTGATAAGTTATAAATTAAATAAAATGGAATTTGTAGATTCCATTGCTAGTTACAATACAGTTCTAATTCTAAAAGTCAAGTTCTTAGTAGAAACGTTTGATATTTCTGTTTTTAATATAAATGAAATATATATATATATATATATATATATATATAATAGAACGATAGGTCTTGGGTTCGATGTTGAGGAGTCCCACACTAAGACAAAACGGCCGTCCAGTGCTTCCAGGTATTCCATGGTGATCTAGCTTCAATCGACTCATGAACTGAACTATTAAATTTTAATAATCTCAACATTTGATCACTTACATTGAAAAAATTAAAGAACAGTTTTTTTAATACATCTAGTTAAAAAACAATAAGTATTATAAATGTAAATTTAAAAATGCTTCCGTTTCATCCGAAAGTTTATAAATTGTAAAGCCTGTTGTCTTATAATAATAATAATAATTAATAATGACTTTGTAAGTGATTGTATCTGTTTATTAATATTAGGGGTAGTGATTATATCAATCAATTTAGACATACATGTATACAGAATGGATTACCTCAATATTGTCACACATTCACAAATGTACAATTAAACATGGATAGTGGCTAACAGTGGAATCTGGGATGTGTGTTTCACTCTACTTGCAACTCATCACTTTTTTTATGATTGAGACTCTCGTGATATATGGAGTTCTTAAGATCAACAATGAGAAATTATAAACCGTTACAAATGAACTGTAATTGATGGTAATTGCACGAACTAATGTTTATGTGGATTCAGTAGTTGAGTGTATGATGCGCTGATTATAAGAGTCGGAAATGGCTGTGTTTGATCTTGATTGTGTGTATCGAGCTTGAGATGGTGGTGTATCCATCTGATGAGTTCTAAGCATGTTAGAGATCCCATTCTATATTCTATTATTAATCACCACACATCTATTCAATGGTAATAATATTCGTTTTGTCATCAATCAAATAGTGAATTTCATTGGAGAATATCTAGTGTAAGTACTCATTGTTACAACAAATCCCACCTTACTACTCATTCTGGTTAATAATATTCACAATAAGTATGAAAATAATTTTCCAAAAGAGACTGGTCTCTATTTGTTTTCATCTGTTAACATTTTGTGTCCATTTTTCTCCTAATAACGTCTATTTACGTCATATGCTATATTTGATATACTAAATTCAACCTATTTATCGTATGTTTTTCTAAAGAATATATAAAGATGAGGCAAAGTATACCAACCACTATAATTATTGAACCTGAATTTACTAATAATTATCTTTGTGATAGGTTGTAAACTTCTTAAGCCATTCACATAAATAATTAATCACTTAAAACAAACTAAACCAGAAACATGTATCGAAGTATTTATCAAGTTAGAAAATAGATACTCTGAATCTCACTAAGTTCTTAGTATGTTGGTTGTTTCATTTTGGATTTCACTTCTGAACATTATCAAAATTAATCAAAATAACAATAAGAATTGTCAATAATTTGATGAGTGGTTTTATGCAAATTTGAAATAAATGTTCTGTCATATTGATTGCACTGCGTATCAACGATCCCGCCAGCGAGATTCGAACCCAGGACTAAACGGACTTGCGTGCAAACGCCATTCACAGGTGTTAATGTCTAACTTCAACCAACCCACGAAATTGAGCCATTGTCCACTATTGTCTTCAGTGAGTTACCATCTTACAACATACCTTGTCGAACTCCATCGGTCATGGCTTCTCACTAGAACTTCAGGAAATAACGCTCAGGTTTTTCATGGTGATCTAGCTTCAATTGATATATGAATCCAATTTTTAAATTTTTAAAATCTCCACAAAACCCTCCTTTGTTTATTGTATTCTGTCTAGAAAACATTGTTTGATGCTTATTACTTCCTACTTCAGTTATTCTGATGATCGATATATTAAATCACGTTCAGTAAGTGATACATTGTACAGTTCGATAATCTTCCAGTTGTTTTTCATGAAATATGATAAAGAATTTAGTTTGCCAAATAAAAGACAACTGGAAAAATAAATTAATGTATGTTGTCCTCTTTGAATAAGGAAATTAACAATAGAACGGTATTATTCGTTAGTAGTTTTGTTTATTTAGATAAACTTATTTCACTGTTGGTTTTTATTTTGTTCAAGAATTGATATTAAAAGGAGAAAAAATAAAGGAAAATTAAGGACCTTTGGACAACTATTTAGTTTTTCTTATGAATTTATCTAAACTGATATGTTGGTATCCGCCACTGAAACCATTTTAAAAAGGGTAAAACGGTTGATTAATTATTACCTTGTTTTAAGCAAATTAAATAGTGTCAATTTATGAAGAAAATTATTTTCAAGTTAAATAAATCTCTATAAAATGGATTCTTGTATTTCTAAACTAAACCCATGATTGTTGAAATAAAATCATTTTATAGAAGTAAAGCAGTTACTTAACAGTGACAGTAAATTACTAACATGAAATCCATATAAAAAGTTGTAGTTTTTTGTTGTTGGATTTTGACTCAATGTGTGCACTGAATATTTCTATCTATCAAAACAAAAGCTTGCTCAGATACTGGTGAAAAGTTGGCTTACAATTATTTTCTAGCTGATTATATAATCTTTAGATAGTGTTATATTTTCTAACATAAGTGGTTTACTTATGAACTGCAATTTATGTTTTTTTGGAATGACATCATTATAATCTAATTCAAAAAAGTAACTCCTATATAAAATTCACAGCAACAATATTCAACAGATCAACCATAGAATACGTCGTCAATAAACCATCCAGATCACAAAAATCAATACTATTAAGTGTCTACGATAATCAATTGTTTAGTATTTCTGTGAATTAAATAAAAATTGATCTAAATTCTCATTGTACATCATTGTATTTTTATAAATAAACAAGTTTGTAACTGCTGAAATTTGTTTAGACTTTAATTAACTTATTTGGTATACAGATAATGAGTATCTTATACGATTCGAGGATAAACAATATTGACAATCATTTAATTGTAATATATACTAAGCTATGAATAAGTACATAAACATTCTAGAACAATATCCATAGTGACCAGTTTAATTTTGCTCATTTTATAAACTGAAAATTCAGTAATCATTTTATAATTTATCATATAAATTAAAGATATATTAAAATATAATTTTACTATGCTATTTATTTCTCTAGGACAATCATTGAAAATTGCTACTTTCTCTGGGAATGGTTTCATTTTAAATAAATTAAAAAATCGACCAATTACAAGTACTGAAGAAAGAATTGAAATTGAATTTCAAACAAAACAATCAAATTCAAGTTTGTTTTGTGCAGGTAACTATCCTGTTAAAATTTTTTGTTGTTGTTGAGTATTTGAACATGATTGTAGATGATTGAAATATGTATTTTGAGTGAAATACATTAAAGCATAAATTACTTGGAAACTTCTGGTTGACTGATAAAAGACGTTCGATTGGTAAATGAATTTCAGTTAAAAATGTTAACAACAGACGAGAGTTGAACGTCACACGTTAATCGTTTTGAGTACAGAAATAGAACTGTAATGAAAATGACAGAACAATTGTTATTTCAATCTATTTTGTTCATATTGGGTGATTTGAGGTATATAGTTATCAGGAAACCTTAGACTTAAGCACCGCGCTGATTAGTACTCGACAACGAGGTGTACTAGCTGTTTGGAAGCAAGGCGTACCCCATGGAAGAAATCAACATGGGTTTCTCCGTTTCGAGTCTGAAATGTTACCATTCAGCTATTTTTATTTTGATACATACTAAATATACTTTGGACTTGTGAAATGAACATATTTATTTCAGTATGAAAAAATGTTTAGAGTTTGGTGTCCAAAGCAGGTAACATAAAACACATAATGAAATTTAAAATACTACTGAACCATTTTATTAGTAACATATTGATGCGCAGTTGAAGAAAATTACTAAATGATTTGGTTAAATGTTTCCGAACGGAAATAAGGAGTTGATGTTCGAGAGAACTTTACATTATAATGGGCAGAGATAGATATGTAGACATTATTTTATCATACATGTGTAGTCAGTGAATGAACCGGAATAATGAACATTGTTTTATTTGAATAATAGCTTTAAACTTCCTTCTCTTAAATAAGTTTATCCACCCACTTTGTTGTTTCTAACTAGTTGAATTTCATAAACAGTGCGAATATGGCAAGTTAAATACTTGTGTCTGCCAATGTAATTTTGAAATACCAAGTGTAAATCAACTGAGATGGACAAACTGTTCGGTCTATTGTATGTATGAATATATCAGAGATATTGGCCAGTGTTTCTAAAACACATTTGTAAGTTATCTGAAAGGGATTTCAGTACAATTTTAATCTGGACAATCAATGTTGGAATAATGTAGTTAACTAAATAAGCCATTCATTTTGTATAAATCCTTAATTAAAACTTAAGAAAGCAACGTTATCTTCGAAATTCCAACCATGTCTTTATAAATTGGTTAATTGTAGTCATTAAACTTTAATATTGACATGATTGATTTTAAGCCAAACGTTTGTGGTCATTTTTTAAAAATAAAAACACACTAATTACAATTTGGATTACACAGTTAGTCCATATTCAAAGATATTCGATTTGCCTATGCAAATATACTCACAGTTCGTTATCTAATGATTGGAACGTTAGTAAGATCAGTTAAACATCTTAAATTATTTTGTACTATACATAGTTAAATGCTGATGTGTTTATATGCACGATGCACTACAACTTTCAATTCGCATAAAATTATAACATTTATCATACAAAAATGAGTGCCAGGTTTATAATTAATTAACTGTGATCTATGAACGCTGAAAAGTGAAATAACGGATAATAAAGCGAATCAACATTTACAAATAAGAACAATATATAAATTTGAAAAAAGGATTATAACCTCACTCCACTGCACAAGCTAGTGGCTATCTAGACTCAGTAGCTAAGTAGATAATGTAATAGCGCCTGGTGCGAAGGGCACTTAGTTAGAGTCTCGGAGTGAGAACCAACTCGGATGCAGGTACATTTAGCTGACGAGTCAAAAGTAGAACGAAAAGTTCGTCCTGGATTACACTGCTAGCCACGATCCATCTGTGCTTGTAACCACACGTCAGTAGTTAGAAAGATGAAAATTCATATATGTATATATACTTATTACCTGAAGAATGGCTCCAGAATTTCACATTTTTAATTAATCATCGTGTTTTTACAAAGTTCAGAATTCCAAACTTAGGTTAAATACTTATAGGTCTTCTATTCATTGAAAAAAAAAAACACTTACTCAAATCTAGAAGTATGAAATTCTAGTTGCAATCGACATCGTGTCATATAGACTGAGGACTACATTATAACTTAACCAATTAGAATTCATTTTCGACTAAAGAGTAGGTGAATATGACATTGATCACTACTCAATGATCGATCCATGTTGACATTTTGATTTTTATCTAAACAATTTCAGTCTGATACATAGTTATTTTAATATTTTTATTACCTTTTAATACATAATATATACACATTGATTTCAAATATTTCTATGACAATCTATTAATCTCAAGCGAATATATTCATTCACAGTTTCCTAAACGAAATTGTCTACTTATCAAGTTATACTTTTCAAACACTGATTTAGTTATAAGCAAAGATGGATAGTGGCTAACAGTGGATTCCAGGACGCGCGTTTCGTTTTATTTGGGACTCGTTAGCTGGATGTACTTGCTTCTCGTAGTTGATGTCCATTCTGGGACTCGAACCCAGTACAAATCGCTTCAAACGCCATCGCGTTATTCACTCAGCTACTGAGTCCTGATAGCCACTGATTTAATTATGTTTTCATCATCTTTAAATTAATAAATAAATTGGCATTATGATTTGAAATATAGCTCTTCTATAGACAAATTAATGTTGGACTTCTGGATTTGTTCTTATATTGTCACGTTTTCGACTCGATTTTCATTGTTTATTTGAATATTTTATGTTTATTGTTTGAATATGGTGAGGATTTGTGGCTCAGATGGATGATTTTAATAGATTTTGTTCTCTGAGCTGGATGGTTTGGTAGTGGAGCTTTCTACCTGAAGTTTATGCTGATGATGTCGTTCAGAAGAACGATGTAAGCTCTACGACCAAACCATCCAGCTCAGAGAACAAAACCCCACCAAAGTTGTTTGAATATTCTATGAGGATGTTGAAATTACTGGAATTTATATAAATGTTCAAATGTACCAAGTAACTGAAATGCGGAAAGAAAACCTCATAAATAAAAAATTTTGTTTTCAATTTTATATTTAACATTGAAACTAATTCAAACACAAGTAAATCATTTCAATCACTTCGTATGCTTTTGTTGTCGTTATTCTTCATGAAAAAATGCATTCTTTACTAAAATCGACTACTTCACCCCTGATAATAATAATAATGGCACAGAATAAAGTGATTATTATTTTGATTAATGAAAGGGATTACTAGAGTTAAAAAAGAGTATGTTGTTTATGGATTATTGCAAATTGACTGAATTTAATCAGTAATCTAAAGGTTACGAGCTTATCAAGAGACCTGAAGGTCTTGATTCAATCTTCAATAGGTTCATTGATGAACATCATTAGAATAGAAATCTCTAATAAAATGAATTAGATTTCAATTGTTTTTGGATTTCCAATGGTTATCTAGATGGAATTAGTTTGTATGGTAAATTTATGGAAATGAAATAATCTATTCCATTTGATGTATAAAGTAGTTTGATCAATTTACAAACAAAACAAACTGATTTGATTCTTATGGAATAGCTAAGTAGGTGATTCCTACATAAATTAGGTGTTCATAATATTATCTAGGTAAACAATATAAACTCAATCATTAAATTTTCTTGTTTAAAAAATTCAATAACTTGAGCTATAGATCTTTATCATTTCAATTAGATTGTGAAAGAATATAGACTTGAACTGTGGAAGTTAAATAAAAGTATTGCGTAAATAATTCATAAAATCTTTTAAAATTTTGTACAAAAATCCATCATGTAAACTAATAATAAATTACAGTCAAAATCTGCTCAGTGATGAACAGTGTCAAGTGGAATTTTATTATAGTTCTAATGAATAAAGCTATGAACTATGGGGAATATTAAATAGATAGAATGACATCAATGAAAATTACAGATTATTTTATTGCAACATTGTGTAAAACTAAATGTATGTCTAATATCCTTTCTTAACTGATACTGTTATAACTGCAGAAATAAGAAAACACTGAAATTTCCAAGGAGAAAACAAGAAAAAGTAAACAAAAATCAATGGAAGATGAAGACTTTATTCATTTTCTAACAACATGACATTAACAACAATATCACTATAGAATTACTTTCAGTCGTGGAACAGAACAACATATATAAGTGAACAATATTGTTTACGATTTGATCCTCATCAGGCTTTACTCTAACATACTTACTTAAGCCTGTTACTCCCAATGGAGCATAGGCCGCCGACCAGCATTCTCCAACCCACTCTGTCATGGGTCTTCTTTTATAGTTCCATCCAGTTCTTGTTTATTTTTCTCATGTCTATCTCCATTTCCCGGCGTAATGTGTTCTTCGGTCTTCCTCTCCTCCTTCGGCCTTCAAGATTCCATGTGAGGGCTTGTCTCGTGACGCAGTTCGATGCATTCCTCAATGTGTGTCCTATCCACTTCCAGCGCTTCTTCCTGATTTCTTCCTCCACCGGAATCTGGTTTGTTCTCTTCCTCAGTAGGTTGTTGCTAATAGTGTCCGGCCAACGGATCCGAAGTATTTTGTGCAGACAACTGTTAATGAACACCTGTATCTTCTGGATGATGGCTTTCAATGTTTTCCGGGTTTCCGCCCATACAGTAGAACTGTCTTGACATTTGTATTGAAAATTCTGACCTTGGTGTTGGTTGATAGTTGTTTTGAGTTACAGATATTGTTCAATTGTAGATACGCTGTTCTTGCTTTGTCGATCCGCGCCTTCACATCTGTATCAGATCCACCGTGTTCATCGATGATGCTGCCCAAATATGTAAAGGATTTTACATCTTCCAAATCTTCTCTGTCAATTGTGATTGGATTGTTGCATTCTGTGTTGTATCGGAGAATCTTGCTTTTCCCTTTGTGTATATTGAGACCTAATTCTGCTGAGGCTGCAGCTACACTGGTCGTTTTCTCCTGCATTTGTTGTTGCGTATGCGATAGAGGAGCCAGATCATCTGCGAAGTCTAGATCATCCAATTGCATCCTAGATGTCCACTGTATTTCGTGCTTCCCCCGAGATGTTGACATCTTCATAATCCAGTCGATCACCAGGAAAAAGAGAAACGGTAACTTTAATATACAATAATATTTATATACATACACTAAATTTTTAAACCAATCAAGGCAGTTTATAAGTCAATGATAACATACGGAATAGATTGGATAAATAAATGAAAAGTACAAATTGGTAATACGATGACAGATGTGCTGATTGTAATAAGAATAATAAAGTCTTGAATCAATGTTATAAGCCTGATAAGGATCTAATAAAAAACAATATATATATATATATATATATATATATATATATATATATATATATATATATATATATATATATATATATATGGTTCTAAATCACAATATGGAAATTTTCCAATCGTGAAATATATAAATTACTTTCTTTTTATCGACTCATGATGTCAATTATTGAAATTACTACAATCTCCACAGAACCTTCTCTGATATTTTCTTTTTTATTTTCAATCTTCTCTGTTGTTACGCCTAGTTCTTTACGTTTTTTTTAAAAAAAAAGAATATTTAAATTTACTTAATTATTACTAATTAAAACAAACATTATATTTTGAAAAAAACCTCAATTATTTAATGAAAATATAATGATAACAAGATGTATAGAAGTTGACAATAACAAAAATAATAATTGAACGTATACATTTAATCACAACATTTCTATATAAAATGAAATTAATGTAGATCAACTATAAACAGAAAAAAAGTTTCTTGAATAAAAGGGTTATTTCTTTTTTTTTTTAAAAATAACAAAGATTATTGTCAATAGAAACTAGAAAAACAGAAGAAGCCACAATGTAAATCATCAATAATAATATCACTTTAAATTGTTTTATTTTTATCCTTTCAATCTTTCACACACACACACACCCTATCACTCCTCTCTCTCCCACACATACACATGCACATACGTTTACATTTATATAAATGTATATATACATGTATGAATGTATAGAACTCGAAATGATTAAAAAAAAAACATGTTTTTAGATATAGTTTGTACAAAATTATAATGATAAAACTGACCTATAGTTAAATTATTTTTATTTCTTAACAATTAAAATAGTTAGAATACTTCATTCATGTATGAAAGATTTTAAGAGTATATATCTTAATGAGTTCATTATCAATTGTAAGTAATTATGTATTATATAACATATATAAGTCAATTAGATTTACTGCCTCTCTCTCATTATAAATCTCTATTCAGGTCAACTTTTAAATAAAAATTAACAATTTTATATCCAATACATGTTTTAATAAAATTGGATAGTGGTTAACAGTAGAAACAAGACTTCCTATATTTATCTTGTAAAAAACTCATTTACATCTCAGTTTTGGTGATCATGTCAATAGTTTTTGCATCAAATGATAATGTTACTCCATAACTTACTAAGTTTAGATAATTTTTGGCTTGTGTAACAGAAATGAATTAAGGTTGTAAGTGATTGTATTATTCAATTGTAGTTAGGGATTGATCAATTACAGTCTTCACTATCAATGAGAAGATACAAAGACTTACAAATTTAAAATGAAATGTCTAAGTATTTTTTTATTACCAAATTAAAGACATTTTCATGTTTAATAATATAATTATATTATAATTCTTAATAGAATCTACTTTTTACTATAAATTACGAATAAGAAAAGATAAATGGATACTCAATGATTATGTCATCATTCACTTTGTACTATTCAATAGTACGTACTTATCATCCTACATGGAATTGATTTAAAGCTGTCAATCCACTTAATGAATGTTGCATTATTCGGATGTCAGGTCAGAACACCAATAACTAAACACTTTTAACTAAAGTCGATTTATGATATAGTTTCATCTTAAACAAGTCACATTTTCAACAAGAAATTCATTGATATCCTATGTTACGACATTTTATTATTACTTGTGGGGTAATTTATTTTTAAGCTAGCTAATATCAGTGCACGACAAAAATGATCTTTAAAATGAACTAATCTCTGCAATTCCTTCTTTTTAAACTAAAAACCTGTTCTTATCCCAACATTATAACTTAATATAATGGTTTTCGGGATATATGACATTTATTAATAAAAATAATAACTTTAGGAGTAGAAGTTAGAATGCAATTAAACAACTATTACAGCTTTTAAAGACATGAGATTTGTAACGATTACAATAATTTTACTTCCGATTTATGGTGTTTGTGGAAGATTGTCGTATTTTGGAGTTTACATCATGGAAAGACTTCTGTTAGACAACTATTAGAAAGTAAGAAGCATTGAACAGCGTTGCGTAATGGATTTCCATTTCTGTAGGTCAAGTGAGGGTGAGTTCCCTGATGACTAATTGGTTGAATTAAGGAGTATTTGTCATTATATAGCACCTCACTGGTCTAAAGATTAAGTTTATACAATGAGACCTGAATGTCCTGGGTTTGCTTGTCAGTCGAGACATGAATGAGCACTCCTGAGGAGTTTCAAGCAACAACAGGTAGTTTTGAGTGATTATTGATTTTCAGTAGCTGATGATGAAAACTATGAAATTTTGTTTTCATCTACATAAACTTTGTTATCCAACAATTTCATTCCCCAAAATAATTTGGTAAAATATGGTTGACAGTGACTAAGTATTTCAAGTAACATGATGTCACCTAAATAACATAGGTATTAAGTTAAAACAAGAAAAATCAGTAAAATAAAAGTTTCTGATGAGTTGAAAAAGGTGTGCGGTTTAAATTTTGAAGTTGCCACCTAACACTACAGAAAAGTTAAAGTACATCATGCCGAATAATTAAACTTAGAGAATGAACTGAATACTTGTTATGTATGTTGTCATTTCCACCAAGACATTGATCGTATGATAGTGTTGTGATCTATTTAAAATTTATCACTTCTGGCACCCCAATGCACATTAGACAATATTTATTTAATTTAAACTGAAACCTAAATAAATAATGAAATCGAAGAACAACAACTACTGGTACACAATTTTCACAAGAGATTTATATTGATTGCTCAATTTCAATCTAATCATAAGTTGGAATCAACCGAGAAACTGTCATGAGCTAGAAAACAGTGTATAAATACTTAAATGGACCACAAAATCCTAAGTGGTTCAAAGATTTCTTGATTATTACAAGAACTGAATGTCTTTGTTTCGATTTTTACACAAACCGTAAGTGCTTAATGCTGAGGACTCCCAAACTGTAACAAAACAAATATCCTAAACTCATCGTTTATTAATAACTGTCTTATTAGACTTTGTTCGTGATAAAAATAAGTTTACTAACTTTCAAAATTAGCAAAATAAATAAATATTTAACTTTGCATTTAACTTATGTTTACATTTTTCAGGTAGCGAAACGCAATTACTTCGTTTAGACATAGTCAACGGGCTACTCAAAGTATTTCTACACTTGCCAATCACCGAAACCGACATCCAATTAAATTTGGCAGAAGGAAATGATGTAGTTACTCAAAACCATGGCATTTACCGAAAGAACAAGCTATCAAGTTTATTTCAGTTGGATATTTTAATTCAATCGAAACTAGACCCAACATTACGACTAGACGATAACCAATGGCATTCTATAATATTGACAAGATCAAACTCATTGGTATATATATATATATATATATATATATATATATATATACATGTTGTACATTGATAAGCCATACTGGTAGATTCTCTTTGATGGGACGAAGAAATGACCTCAACGAATGTCCCATATAGCCTAGCTACACTAGAGCAGGTAAACTAGTAATATGGGCATTGAATGGGTCAGTCTTGACAACTTATCGTTCAAAATGATTCAGCTAAAAGTGTGGTCAAAATAGGCCATATGAAGATCTATTGCAACAAATTATGTATATATATATAGATATAAAAAATGTTAAATATAAGTGATATGTTTAATTGAAAAATGACTGTATACATATATTTTACCTTCTTAAGTCAAAAGGCGACCCATTTATCGAGGACTACCTTCAAATTATATAGTTTTTACAAAACTACATATGCAAATAATAAACTTATGCCAACTGGTAATATGTTTAAGGACGACATGATCGGTTTTTCATTGAAAAACCTGTACAGAGTGTTTGTGGAACACTACTTTATTAATGGTAACGGATAAATGGATTGTTAAATTGTAAATTAACTAAAACCTAAATAAAACTTAAATTTATCCAGTAGAAACCTGGCAGTTTATAATTTCAGTTCAATACAAGTTTGTGAGCTTGTACAACAGAGAATTAACATAATGGTTCAATCTTGTTTTAATTTGTCACCGGACAGTCACTAAGAGAGACGTTTATCTAGAGGAGCTGTTTAACCGATAAAACGAAGTGATTTTAGTTAAAGAACCACTGATATCTGGAAATCACTGAGCAGCTGTATCGTCTCAGTTTACGACTTTTCATCTCTGAACATTCAGGACTTGTAACGTGGGTTTGACCTTTCGATCACTAAACCTAAATAAATTGTTTTACATTTTTAAATTCAGTCGATTTGTAATATTCTGCCACCATAATGTTAATGCCTCACACCCGACATAAATGAAACTCAGTGTACATAGAAGAGTCAAAAAAGAAATCATTTCTTTCATTAATGACAGTCATTACTTGAGTTACGTTTTTTTACTTGATATTTTGTCATACTTAATGTCGGAATCAATAGTATACTTTCATGACATAAGAACAGATCATCTATGCAGGTTTAAAATGACTATCAAATATGAAAAATCTATTAATATTCAAGTCGAACAGAACCACCAAACTAATCAGAATGATTCAATCTGAATGAGTGATGTTTGTTTTAATCACACATTTATTTATTATTATAAAAAAATGAACAAGTTCTTTATTAATGTTTATCAATCTAAACAGTCATGAATTAGAATTGTTCCTTGAATATTTTATGCACCATCATTAAGTAGTTCGACATTCATTAATGATTATAATGCCGACTTGATGGTCTAGAGGCTAGGCGCTCGCACATGAGACTGATAGGTCCTAGGTTCAAATCTCGTGAGGTAGGATCACCGATGCGCGCTGTTGAGAAGTCCCACGATAGGACAAAACGGCTGTCCACTACTCCCAGGTTTTCCATGGTGGTCTAGCTTCAATTGACTCTTAAAGTTAACCACTAAATTAGTATAATATCCACAAAACTTCTCTCTGATTAAAAATAAATATATTAAATGTTGTAAATCTGTATTATTCTACTATACATATAGGATATACATATATATTTTTCTTTTTTGATTATTTTTCAGTTACAGGTGTACATAGATGACGATTTGGTATTCACACGTTTACTTGGTTCATCTAATTATCAGCGTCTATATTTATTACATACACAAATTATTGTTTTAGGTGGGCCATATAAATTAGGTGATATATTTCAAATGAATTCAATGGAGATTGTATCAGATAATAATTTTATTGGTTTTATTTCAAAAGTAAGTAATAGATTATTAAATCAGTTACATACAGTGTTTTAACTTGAATGTTAAATATTTATTGTGACTATGACTAATCACTTGAAAAGCTGAAATATTTACGTTAATCAAGTATCAAGTGTTAGATATTATCATTTTGTTTGACCGGTATCTAGTCATTTAGTCTAGTAGTAGTTATATTGTAACTTAATCAATAGAATAAAATCAATACTAAAGCTTAAACAATTTGATATTTTCATGGTTGAGACCATGAGTCAATTAAAGTTAGACCACCATGGAAAACCTGGAAGCACTGAACGGCCGTTTCGTCCTATTATTATTATTATTATTATTATTATAAGCTTTATTCAACATTATATTCGTGGTACACTATTGAATTCTCAGCATGAAGTATTTCAACAAGTTTCCTTTTCTTATATCTTGATCGATCCTGACGATAAATATTGAGTGATGGCCAGTTAGATGTTAGGAGTTCGATAATAGACATCTGAATAATGTTCATTCGTTTCAATGCATATTGCAAGCCACCATGATGTCGTTGGTTGTACCTTTTTGTAATCCGTACAGCGAAAGGTTGTAAACTTTTCGTAAACGCGCCTGAATAGGTTGTGAGCTCAATAGACATAAAAGTGTGTTAAAACAAACAAGAAAACAGATAACTTGACGAAATATCTAGATGGGAGGAACAGGTAGCCCAGATATTCAAGCAGGCCGCCGATGAAGAACTTCTTAGCAGTGCGCATTCACAACCGAGGACGTATCAGTCTCGAGCGTGAGCGCTTAAACACTAGACCACTGAGCGGTCATCCAACGGTGTTAATGTATAACTTCAACCAATCCACGAAATTGAGCGAAACATCCACCATTGTCTTCAGTGACTTATTATCTCACAACTGAGGAGTCACACAATAGAACGAAACAACCGTCCAATGCTTTCAGGTTTTCCATGGTGGTCTAGCTTCAATTGACTTATGATCTCAACTATTGAAATTACTATAATATCCAAAAAACCTTTCTGATATCAATTTGATATTGTTTACTACTAGGTGATTAATTAATGGAAAATTATAGAGAACAAATATTAGAGGCTTACTATATTGTTTTAATCTTATTTATAAGAGAACAATGGTTTATTTGATTTATTTGGAATATTTTGTTTAATGCTATGATCTTACACATGATAAATAAAAGTTGTAATTATTTTTTATATGGTTTCAATATAAATGACATTCGTTATAACTGAGGTTAATGTAAATTCATAGTTGGAACGGAATTCGAACCAGAACATCACTGATATCTATTTTAATATACATTCTACTATAAGCACCACCATAGTTTTCTGCCATTAAATGACATGGTATTAAGTCAAAACAGAAAACGGAGTACTATAAGCAAAGCTGGGTAGTGGACAGCAGTGAAGTCTAGGACGAGCGTTCCGCCTTATTTGCGACTCATTAGCTGGATGCACCTGCGTCTCATAATTGATGTTCACCCTGGGACTCGAACCCAGCACCATTCGCTTCAAACGCCGTCGCATTATCCATTTAGCCACTGAGTCCTGATAGCTACTAGCATGTACAATGTGATGAAGTTTAAATTCACTTGGTATTATTTACGTAAATCTTCCGATTGATATTTAGGAATACAATTGATTCAATCGAAACTAAGGCAATATCGAAGCAATACGCACAGGATGTGCATATGCTAATAAGAGACTGAATAATTACAGTGCTAAACATCAATGGGAAGATTCAAGTAAACATTTACCAAGTTAGATCCTTTTCAGTTTTAAAGCAAATCATTTTCGGAAAAATCAGAATTATATTTAGTGTGTACAGACACACTTGGAAAATTTTAAAATTCAATTAAAATTCCAAAAAAGGAATACAAATAAACTCGCGTCTAAGAGATTCAGAAAAACGAACTGATATTCAACTATATATAACATACAAATTAGCTAGTTTGCATTTTGTCGGTATTTTTTCCAAATACAACCTACACTATCATTAAAACAGTTTTAATTATATGGTTGTGGCTATAATGACTGAATATTGGTCATTATTAGATGACATATTTACAGCCTGAAGCCATTCTAATGTTATTGCCGGCATCAATCTCGGATATAGAAGAAGGGTTGCGAATGGGGTTAGTCAACCTTTCCCATAGAGGAAAACCTTGCTAAATAAAACCGTCAATCAGAAAAACACATTTAAACCAATCAAAGCCTACCCTAAGTGTTTAAAGCTCTTCGTTTAGAAGAGTTATGACACTTATTGATAAAAACAGAGATTCTCCAGGATCATAAGGCTGATGCCCTTCTGACAACCAGAGCAACAATTAATATAGGTACATTAAATGTCCAAACAATAAAAGAGACATGTACGACCATCTAACTGGCGGCGGAAATAAGAAGATATAACATGAGAGTGTTTGAAATAAGCAAAAATATTTTGACCTAGTCTGAATAGAAAACGTCAACTTCTGGAGATGTGTTGTTGTATTCTGATCAATGAGGAAACAATGCCTCGCACACACAAAGAGTTGCAATGAAGCTCTACAAAAAGGTTCAAAAAGCACTTTAGAATAAGAATCTCATGGATCGGGGAGCAAAGAGAGGAGCTGACATAGCTTCAGATCATCCTCTGGTTGTGGCCAAAATAAAACTCTTGCTCTTTCTCCTCCTTCCGGTGTCTGATTGAATAACGAAGACCTCCACAACCAAGGAGGAGCACGGTGATGCATGACCTTTCCTTATACTTTATACACAGCAGCAAATGCAGGTGAAGACAGTCAGTGTAATAGCAGCCTCTTCAGCATTCAGTCTCAACATACACAAGGAAAAAAGTAAGACCTTGAAATACAACACAGAAAACACCAACCACGCCGTACTTCCTGGAGAAGCATTGGAGGAGTTGGAAGCTCTTACATATCTGTGTAGTATCGTCGATAAAGGAGGACCTGATGAAGACGTAAGGTCGAGGATTGGCAAAGCAAGGGGCGCATTCTCACATTTGAAAAATATATGGAACTCAAAATAACTGTCAACAATTATCTAAGTGAGAATCTTCAATACATAAATCAAGGTAGTTCTACTGTTTAGAACTGAAACTTGGGGAACTATCACATCCATCAAAAATGTCCAAGTATTTATAAACAATCGCCTACCCAAGATGCTTAATATCCTTTGTCTAATCATCAACAGCAACAAACTACTACGGCAGAGAACAAATCGGTTCCTAGCTAAAAAATATCGTCAGGAAAAGCTGTTAGAGGTAAATGTGTCATACACTACAGAAACCATCGAACTGGATCACAAAGCAAACAATTGGAATTCTCAAGTGTACAGAAAAAGGGCCAGAACAAGAAACACATTATGCCAAGAAATGGAAGCACGCATCAAAAATAACGAATAGTGCATGGGAACCCACGACATAGTTGGAGATTACTAATCGGGTGGTCTATACTCTTTAGAGCTTTGTTTAAATAAAACTATTTGGTCGCAAGTCTTATAAAAAGATGAATTATGGTTACCGGTTAAACCAAGGAAGTGTATTTTATTCTATTTAAGACTAGTCAGCTGAAAGTTGTTTATGCTCACACTTCAATTCCAACTCAATACTTTTTTCTTACGTAGCTAACTCCATGATCGGCTGATCTGCTGTATGCACACATCTAGCAAATGTTCATCATGAACAGATTGTCTCAAATTTATCCTTTCAATTCATATTGTTTATTATTCAAAATATTCTACTTAAGTTTTCATCATTTAATTAATTTTCATTTGTTTAACTCATCTTATTATATAAATAATTTCCTAATTTTATTAATAATAAACAATATTATTCATATTAAAAATTTTTAGGCTATTTTTCAAGCGGATTCACTTGAAATGAATATTCTCAAATTTACATTATCCCATTTACATGGTTTTCGAATTCAATCAATATTTCCTTTAATAAATAAAACTTTTTATTATCAAACTAATGAAATGAAATTATATCCTATTGAACCTATTGAATTTATTTCAATATGTGATTTAATCCATTCTATGAATCAAATAATGATTACATCATCGATTTCATTTCATTCAATAAGAATTTATAAAAATATATTTATTATATTAAAATTACCAACATTTAATTTATTAAATTTATTACAAAATTCAATGGATTGTATAAAACAAAATTTAAAATCTACAACATATTTAATAAATACATTAAAATGGATTAATATAGAAATACAATTTAATCAATATACAAATAAACAAAATGGTTTATTATTTTTAATAAATGATAATAATAATAAATTAAAACATTATAGTTTTATTGAAAATTATAATCAACAAATAATCAATAATTATCATTTAAATGGGAATGTATTCATTGGTGCAGAATTTCGTAATAATCAATTATATATTATTATACAAAAAAATAAAAAAATATGGTTTAATATAAAATTAAATCAATTATCATTATTACATAATCAATATAAATTACAAATTAACTATACAATGATTTGGTTAATAAATAAAAATAATCATTCATTAAATGATTTATGGCCATTAGTTAAAATACATTATGATAATACAATAGATAAATGGATAACGATTGGTCCAAATAATCATTATAGTAATAATAATAGTAATGATATCCATTTGACAGTATTAAATAATGAAGAAGAATTGAAATTAATGAAAAATTTAAAAATAGTTAATGAGGTTTATCAAAACATTTGGCAGAATACATTATGGTTTGGTAGAACATTATATTTAGGTGGTATTAATTATACAAAATTTATTGAAAATGGTTTATTTATACCAGGTATTCAGAATATTCATGATAAATATCAACATTTTCAAGGTTGTATTACTAAGTAAGTATTCAATTTGACTATACTATTTTAAAGGTATTATATTCAATTATATGAATGCTTTTATTTTACTTATTGTTCACACTTTGTACAATGATTTACATCATTGAACATTTTTATATTAATATCAGAAGGGGTTTTGTGGAGATTGTAGTAATTTCAATAGTTAAGATCATAAGTCAGTTGAAGCTAGACCACCATGGGAAACCTGGAAGCTCAATTTTGTGGATTAGTTGAAGTTAGAAATTAACACCGTTGGAGGCCGGCTCAGTGGTCTAGTGGTTAAACGCTCGCGCGCGAAACCAGTAGGTCCTGGGTTCGAATCTCGCATGGGGCGAGGTCGTGAATGCGCACTGCTGAGGAGTCCCATACTAGAACAAAACGGCCGTTCGTCGAAACTTTTACAGTAAATAAAAAAGTTAAAATACGGTTGGCAAAGAAATATTCACCAATTTTCGACCAAAAATTATCCTAATTAATTATTATCCTACTGTAGTGAACAAATACTCAGATAGGGAAAACCAAATTATTATTATATAATACTAAATTACATACTATCTTGCTAAAATATGAGAATTATGTAATAAATATTTGGTTTTTCCTTCAGACTCCGTACTATTTTTCACATTCATAATTCTTTTCTTTTACCTCTTCTGTTTTATTTCTGTCAACTCGATCTTCTTAACCTTCTTCTGCCATACATGTCACATATTACTTAAGTCGAAAACCATAAGTAGTATACAACACTACCACAATAATCATAGCATACTTGATTAATGATTAAAACTATTAAACAAAATGAAAGTATATAATTATGGTATATTGAATAGAATCAAACATTTCAATTTTTAATCAATAAACTGATAAACAAAAATAAATACTGTATTTTATTTTAAATTTCCATAGCTATTCATCATTTAAAAATTACTTTCCATTGTAAAATGTCAATTACAATCAAATAAATTACATATACTTGTTTTGTTTTGTTTATTTTTGAGATAAAATGACACATATATAAAATGCCCTAACCCCCCTCTGCTATTTTTTTTTTGTATTTCTTTGGATAAAAAAATTTCATTTGATACAATGAACTATTTAATTTCAATTAACTACTATGGTAATAATTGAAATAAATTTAGTGACAAAATCTATCAGAATATTAGTAGTTATCATAGGTATTTATAAAATTTATATTAGAATAGATTATTGTCTATTGACTTGATTAATATCTAAATATAAATGATCAAATAATGAATATTATAATCAATTTGTTTGTTTGTTTTTGGTAAGACAAATAAGGACAGATAAGAATTACATTATTCAATCAAAACAAACAAATAAATAAACAAATAAACAATAGATTTAATCATATCAATGTTTAATAAGTATGGAATTAAAATAATAACATAAACTCATAAATTCTAATTTATTGTTTAAACTGTAATTTATTGTATTGGTTATATGACTAATGATGGGATTGATGACAAATATTTTGTTTTATTTAAAGTCAATTGATTGTACTTAGATACTAGTGTTGATGTTTATACAAAGAACTTGAACATATTTATCTTTTACACCATATGTGTAAACATTTTTTGGGGATAATTAGAAGTATTTGAATGATGGTATTAACTAGGAATCTTTAAAATAATATAATTTAGATCAAGAACAACTAGATAAGCATAAACAAACGTAATGTATTTGGAATTCGAAATCAGGCAGAAATCAAGTATAAATGAATTATAAGTTCATACAAACATCATGATTTTCTATTGAGCTAAGGAGTTCAGATAGCTATTAGTTATTCTGTGGATATAAAGGTTACTTCAATTAAGACTTAGATTTTGTAAATGATATCTTTTATCAGAAATATTTATCATGGTGATAAGTATTAATACCAATGAAAAATTGTAATCAATTCTAAACATATGAATTATCAATTGTTTTAACTTTTCATTTTGAATATCATATTTGTAAATTTGATTAGTACTAACTTTAAAGCATATTTTCTTTACAATGAATCATAACTTCGAAGAGATTCTTATTGTTGTATCCTTTCCAAATGAAATAAATGCAATTTTTATGCTTTTATTCTTAATTAAAGACAGGAGCTCAATTTTTTTGCTCAAGAAATTGTAACTACTTATTTATTGAAATTATAAAATCGTATGAAGATTTATTTTAGAAAAAAAACTACCATATTTTCTAATTTATGTTACGACCTGATGTTAGTTAATCAACTACTGAAAATCAAAAAGTATTGAACAGTTCTTTTGTTCTACTATGACATTCTTCAACAGTGCACATCCATGGTCCCATCTGAGATTAAAACTGCAACCTTCAGTCTAGTGTGCGGGGGCTTTACCTCTGGATCAGGGAGATTAGATCCAATGATACAAATATTCAGTTTTAATCAATTTAAGAGTTTACTCTATCATAACCTATAGCCTGCGATGTGCAGATGTTCCACATTCAAAATAGTCAATCCCATCTAGTTACAGCTTCACATTAAAAACTCGTACGTTTGAGACTAAAGGTCATGAGTTCGATCCTCGATGGGGTCATGAATGGTTTAAAATATGGAGAAGCAAAAGTATTTTACAAATGGTTTCATGGAAATTACCTCTGTCTTAACAGATTAGAAACTTAGGAAAAATAGTCTTTTGTAGTGATTCTGTATTCCATAAATTCTATGGTTTAATAAAACAATTTTCATTAACGTTCTGGCCAGCATTATTAGTGTCTATTCTAAATAGAAAAGTACATTAATGATTTTACTTGAAACAACCAGTCAAAATCAGTAAGCTGACTCTCTACCTGAGGAGGTGAAACACTAATGAATGTATTCACATGATAAACAAATATCTGAAATAACAACTTATCATTTGTGATTATATGGAAATGAGACATTTAAATTATGCCGACCATCTCGAAAGTTATTGTGATTAGAAAACTCAGATTTGATTAAAGTTAATTTGTAATGCTTCTGTTTCAGTCAAGTATTTAATGACTAGAACACCATAGTTTTATATATTGTACCAGACTTTTAAAAGAGTGCTTTCACGCAAAAAAACTTCATCAATAGAGATATTTATCACGGCGATTAAAATAAGTCGTCAACTGAACTTCAAATCTTATTCATAAAGACATTTAATGATGCAATCGACCTATTTGATTTAAAAAGTCTATAATAAACAAAAGTTTAAATATCAACAAACTATCACTCGATTAGACCATTTAAATTATAGTTAAACAGTATCATTAATATGAAAAATGGAAAGATTCAAACCCTTAAAAGTGAACTATAATTAATTCCCGTCGCATCAGCTAGTAATTCTCTGAATTCGCTCTCTCAGTGGATAAAAATTTAAAGGGTTTAAATCAGAAGGCACTGGATATGATTTACTGTCTGAACATTAACTGTGGGATGCAGGTACATGCAGTTTGTTAGTCCTTAAAAAAGTGGAATATGTGTCTTAGATCCCACTGCATTAACTATACAGCTTTACTTATAAATGCTGGTGACATAAAGACATCATTGAAGCAATCCATTCAGAAAGCATATATACCATAAATGGTTGATCAGTTGCCGTTTGTTATATCGAAAAAGAAAAGATGAAGATTATCACAACTGATTCACACTATGAATTCATTGTTTTCATCAATAAATTGTATTCTGAAATGATAATATATTTATACTTAAAACTACTGAATTTATATATACCTAACTATTGTAAATATTGTGAATACACTGAAGTTATCTATTTATTTTAACATTTTTATTTTTAAAAGGGTGACAATTAATGGTTTACGCTTGGATTTACAATCAGCTTTTGAAGCACGTTTACGTTATTTACAAAGTATTCATAATGAAAAAATTCAAACAATTACAAAATTTTCTTTACCCTTAAAGTGCGATAATAACAACACTAATAATGTTACAACAGAAATGTTATCAAATATTTGCTCATCATATGATTCTAATAAATTATCATGTTCATTAAATAAACAATATCATCATCATCATCATCACCATCATGATCATCATTATTATCATCAAAGAGAAAGATTATTAAATTCTTATTTGTATAACTTAACTGAATTAAAAGACTGTGAGTTATGTCTAGTAAATCAATATGTGTATTTCTTTTTCTTTTTCTTAAATTTAGAAGTTAGAACTATTAGGAAAGTGTTAGACAGTAGAGATACTGATGATCCTGATTATCATTTTAAGGATGTTTTGTCAGATTGTTGAGTCGAGTTAGACCGGTATAAATATTATTTTTCGTATTAGATTGAAATTAGTTGGGGAACTCATGAAAATAATGAAGTACAGTGTTCTTTATGTTGTAATTAGTTATAAATCAGTAGTTCGCAGTGATGAATCAACACAGAACTGATCTCCTGTTAGGGAATCATACTATATTATAAACTGATTTATAGATTACTGTATTTTGACTCAAGAGTATGAAATAAACAAGTTCTCTGAGAGTTCAGGACATCTGGCATCGATTCATGCAAATATCATAGAATGTACACCTTCAGAAATACTAAATCATAGTAAAATAACTATCAAATACAATCCTTATTAAGTGGTTTTCTGTATGTCATGACTACTTCTTTAAGTCTGCAAGAAGTTTACTAGAAAACTTAAAATTCCTGATTAAGTGGTCAAATATAAAGACCATCTAGATAGATTAAAATTCAGAATTTTGAAACACGATTCCTTCATCTTATAATCAATAAAGAGAGGAATGAAAAAAATATTCAGTTAATTAGATTTTACACTGAATACAAACGTATAAAATAATATATAAATATTTGTTATATATTTCTGATGTTTCTACTCAATGAAATATAACGAAAATACATTTATCATTAACTTTCTACCCAACGCTCAATTTATTTGAAACCATCAAGTCTAACTTTGGCATTAATACCTATAAACATATAAAATACTAGATAACAATGATAATCTGAACGACAAAGACAATCCTTTCATGTTTATTGCGATTACAGGCAAATAAATTGACTAAACAAGGTATCAAGGAAATGAAAATGGTCGCATAGTGTTCTCCTGTACTCACAGGTTAAGTTTGATCATATAAATCCCTATTTTGTTTTTCAGTATTAAAAGTGGAACATTGAAACATAAGTTAGATTGAATGTGTTCTAGTAGATAATTTTAGTAGTACCCTTTACACTAACTATTTTATTTTTAGTGTCAAATGAATGAGTGAGAATGAAGTTGTATATTTTCATCAAATTCTAATAAATCATGGAGGTTAGTGTGAGCCCATTTGAAGTAAGTCTATAAATCTAGTTAATCCTGAAGTTAAATGTAGATGGGATAGATAACCTACCTTTTTACATAAACTCATCACCACTTATCAGAATTTACTTGTTATAGAACTCACTCATTTATATATAAGTGTGAAAATATGATAACAAGCCAATAAAAACGAACTATTTTATCTGTTTACGAATATTCGTCAAGATTAAAACGAATAGTTTGACAGAAATTAGTCGCCAAGTATAGAGAAACCATTATATGTGAAAATTATATTTGAAATAATCTCAGCGATTGAAATCTAAAATAATTTCAACGTTTCGTCCAGCAAACTTGTCTGGACTTCTTCAGGGTATTAATCAAAATCATCTTTTTAAACTTTTGGCTTTTATTAGTTACTATGATAAATAACTCTACTCAACCTAAAGTAGATATATTCATGTTTATTTGAAAATGATTTAAAAGATATATTTTTGCTATTTTATGCATTTTATTTACAAAGCTACATTAATTGTACATTTCAATGGAATACAATTAATACGTATACAACTTCCTGTTCAACAATATTCATCATTATTATGGATTGTATTTATGTTTCATACAAATTATTTAAATGGAACTATATTATATACAATACCTAATTTACAATATGAATTAAATATTATAGACAAGTTTATACCACAGAAAATAGATAAGAATATATTAACATTTGAAGAAATAAATAAATTTATTTTGCCTGTACAACAATCACAACAAACAATAAATCAACAAACAATTTACAATGAGAAGTTTAACAACTTTCAAATATTACTTGTAAATGGTTATATTCATGTCAAATATATTGTCGGTAGTAAAGATGAAGTATGTTTACTCATAATGAATGTGATATTTTTTTTTTTAGAATCCACAACGCGTGTTTTGTCTTATTAGGGATTCGTCAGCTGAATGTGCTTGCATCCTAGAGTTGATGCTTACTAAAGGACTCAAACTTAGTATCGTTCATAAATGATTTTAATCTCATATTTGTATTTTGTTTATTGATCGTATGCTGTGGGAATTATTATAAAAATCGTAAAACACATGAATTCGACTACATAGATTAGTAATGGATTAGAAAATGAAATAATTGGATGTGCTTTTTATTTAAAAGATTTATAATTTTTCTTTAAAGATATATTATTAATAGAAAATCGAATCATCTCATTACTGACATTCAGGACAGAATTTTCTATTGACATATGTGTATCCTATGAACGTTTTTCTAGACTAAGTTATTGAATTGAAAGCTTATTAGAAAAGATGGATTGTGGTTGGCATTGGAATTAAGCAAGTGTTGCATTCTATGTAGGATTCAGCAACTAAATGTACACTCATTCCACTGTTAATTTGTTCAGTAGTTCCTACAAAAATACTTCAATTTGAAGACAATTTCAACTAATGATTAATTTGAACTGTAGGATCATTGTAAACTAGTAACTTAAGGGTTTTTAGCAAATACGTAGAGTTGTGAGTAGATGAATATTGATCAAATGATCTGCTCGATTTCAACGAAATAATCGTCTAGTATTTCTTAGTACCATAAACTTATTACAAAAGCTAAACATAAATTAAACTAATTCCCACTAAAAGAAGTTTATCACAAAAAAAATACTTCTCTTCTATAAGTAGAAATCACGTTTTGTCGCGAAGATAGCAGGACACTTAACTATTTATGGACATTTTCAGTCAAAGTGGTTTTAGACATTTTGTATTGACTCTATTTTCAATATTATCATTTTAAGTTAAATATCGTTAGCTGTTTAAATGACTTGTTAATTATTCTCTACTGTCAAGATGCATGAGGGGATTCATCTAATGTAGGAGCACTATACATTAAATAATGTAAATTTTTAAGATCATACCTATAAGTTCAATAGAAATGTTAAATATAACAATGAAATGTTTTCACCAAGACATGAAGTATATGTGAACGAGTCAATTATATGAGAAAACTCCTATTAGTAAAAATTACTCGATTTTTAGTTTATTATATAGAATTGTGATCTGCACAAACAATTTGTTGTGATCTGATTTTAATGACCTAAAGAACGACATATACTAAATAATAATGAAAAACGACTGAGATTGATCCCAGCCATACTTTTTGTCTTAATAAAGCACAGAAGTAGAAAATGATTAAATATTATACTGATTGGTCAATTAATAACGGAAAAACTATCCAATAGCATAATTCAAACTATTTAGCGGTATTAATCCGAAATCTTATAATATCAGCCAACAGATATTTAATTCAGTCACATGATTTCTCACATAAATGTACTACTTTTATTGCATTAATGATACTCTTTACAATAAGTATGATTAATTATAAACATTAAACGTACTACAGTTTACATTTTAATAAAATATTTTAATGATTAACTATGAAAACAACTAATTACATGTGTTTCTGTCTAACATAATCTCTGAGCCTTATATTAATATGATTATTATTTCTTTATTTCTTTTCAATAAGGTATATGAATTACCTGTATTTTTATCTGATGGAAAATGGCATTATTTTGAATTGATTCATAACAATTCATATATAACTGTTTATTTGGATAAAAATGTATTTAGTCAAAGTAGGTATATATTTTATAGGAATGTTTTTATTGATAGAAAAAATTACATTTACATTTATCAATCAATGTTATTACCTTGAAGAAGTCCAGACAAGTTAGTTGGACGAAACATTGGAATTATTTAAATTCCAATCACTGAGATTATTTCAAATAAAATTTTCACATATACTGACTTCTTTATACTCGGCAACCAATTTCTGTCAAACTATTCGTTTTAATCTTGACGAATATTCGTATAAATTATTTTCCAATCAATGTTTATGTGTACACCTAAACAACTGTATTTTGATAGAGAATAAATTAATACACTATATATAGGGTGAAATTAAAAAAATTTGGAGAAAATTGACATAATATTTAGATTTAAGTTAGTAATATATTAGCTAGAAAGTTGAATTCTTCTTTTGTTATATTGTGATTGAAATCAAATAAATGTGATTATCTACTCTTGTTAAAATATTTCCTTACATGAAACAATTATTAATTATGATAGTAATCATCATGATAAACTGATTTAAGACTCATGGAATAATTAAGAAGCTCACTTCTGTGTGAAGTAAGCTGTGATGGTGTTATTTTTGAACAACATGAAATGTTCTGCAATTAAACTGTTTAACTTGGGGAATTCGACTATACAAAAATCATCTATCTGAGCTGCAAATCTTCTTTGACAATAATCAACACTATGATTTACACTGGTGACTGCAAAATATTTTGATACAATATGTATATAAAATAATATTTAAGAATAGTAAAACTTATAAACAATGTACAACGTTTGTGATACAAATAATACTTCTGACCGCTTAGTCTACATGATGTAAACGTTATGTATAGGTAAATTAAAAACTAAATAATAATCAAGAGACATGTTTATTACTAATCTATCTGTTTAGTAGTCTTAAGTTTGTTTATTAAAAATCATGAATAACTTTTCAAACCAAATTATCTTCGCAAACGTATTTTGCTCTTTCAAATCAATTTTTTTCAAATATAAATTTACCTTCAGAAAAACAAAAACTGTTCTTTCCTATTCTTGATTTTTATAGGGACAAATTTAACCATTACAGAATTACCTGTTCAACAAATAATTATCGGATCATCCAATTCATATGAATCGTCATTATTATCAATAAATCCTAGGGTTAACCAAATTACTGGTTATAATGGTGATATTGCACATTTTTTATACAACGGTATCGAACTAATGTCATACAAGAAAAAACATGTACACATTCAATATCCATTAAATGAAAGTAATTTAGAAAATAGCTTTGAATTTACACTAAATCAGTGGGTGGTTGAATTTACTGCCCAATTATTTGAATATAACGTAGGATATAGACCAACCACTTATGACTTTCCTGTACAATTTAAACTATCCAAATGTTATCTTTCAATTATCAATCAACATTTTGAAAATGTACCATTACTTGTTAAGTTTTCTTTTAAAACATCAATTGATCAAGGTGTATTATTATTTATTTTAAACAAATTAAATGACAATTTTCTACTTATTGAATTAATCAGTGGTCATTTATTATTCTCAATACATTTGAATAATGAACTAATAACAAAGAAGATAACAACATTGTCAATAAATAATGGAGTATTGTTTAATGATTCACAGTGGTATACAGTTGAATTATTGCAGTAAGAAAGATTTTGTTTGATATTTTATTAAATAATAACATATTAAATTCACATGGTGTTGTTTTATCTGTATCATCCCATCAACTATAGTATGCAGCTACTTCCAGCTAACGAGTCCCAAATAAGACGAAATGCACGTCCTGCATTCCACTGCTAACCACTATCCATCTTTGCTTAAAAAGCTTGTGACTTAAGGCTATATCGAGGCAATTCGCACAGTATGCACATATGCCAATATGAGACTGATCAATTGCAGTCCTAAATAACAACATCAGGACTCAGTAGCTGAGTGGATAACGCTATGGCGTTTGAAGCTAATGGTACTGGGTTCAAGTCCCAGAGTGAACATCAATTCTGAGATGCAGGTTTATCCGGCTAACAAGTATCAAATAGGATGAAGCGCGCGTCCTAGATTCCACTGCTGTACACTTAGATTGTTTATTGATTATTTGGATGCATTTATTACATTTACTATATGTCCTGTTATCGAACATTCTTTACATCTAACTCTCTATTGTTAGATAAGTAGATCTTTTTCTTTCAAATCTCAATTTTGTCAATATTTCAAACTGATCAATCTTAGTAGGTTGTGTGTAGTTGAATAAAAATGTAACAACACAATGAATTAATCATATATTTTGCAATTAATGTTGTGTAAACCAATAAATTGTAGGTGAATTTTGGGTGTTTTCCATCTAGTTCAATCTATCGATTATTGCATGATATTTGGTGGTTTTGTACATTTTCTGTCTATAATAATAATGGCAATAATAATAATAATAACAATAATAGAAATAGTAATGATAGTAACAATATTAATGATAATATTATTGATCGATTCATTGAATCAACTGTTTATTTATCAAGCTATAACACAAACAATAAACGAATAACTGAAAGGATAGATAGATATTTTTTGCAGAATATTCTATTGGCAACTCAGATTAAATGACGAGACTACAATTTATGGACGAACCAATCAGATTTAGAAATAATAGGTCTCGGATTTTGGTGTGGAATTCATTTACCTATTTGTCGAACGTCTTGGCATTTTAGCGTATATCAGTTCGTGTTGACAACTATAAATCTGATGACCAACCCCAACCATCAGCTGTAAATCTTCACACTGCCTTACAACTCTTATTTAGCCCTAGTAAGTAGGTGGACATTCACAAGTTCACCTAGGTGTCACTTATAGGTCATTCATAAATTATAGTCTCACGATAAAATGTTTAACTAAGGAGATTAATAATAATTTACAAGTAATTTGTTGCATATATATGTCTGCGGAAAAGAGAACAATTCTTCTCATAAAAATGTAAACTTTAATTATCAAATTGTATGGTTTCATTTAACCATAATATTAAAGTCAAGTATGCATTTCAAATAATAATTAATTTTTCTGGTAAGCGTTTTTTTTAGCAAGTTAGTCTCCTACGGGATGGGGTAGTTAACTCCATGCCCAACCCTCCTCCTATGTCTAGGTTTGAGACCGGCAGTAGCCCCAGACGGGCTCAAGGCGGAGTTTTATATAATTATACAAAGATATAAATTGGATAGATTAATTTTACACTAAAATCCTATTTGTAAAAATTACAAAAATCTTTTATTCTCTTTATTAATTTCAGAGAGAATAAAGTAAATGATATATTGACAATTCGAATAAATACACAAACATCAATTGAAGCATTCACTAATGTAAATTTAAATAAATTATTTAATTATAAACAATTATTTCCAAATTATGTAATCAATATTGGTGGTTGTTCTATGTCAGATTTTACAAAATTTCAAGATAAAATCAAATCTAGATTTGGCTTTCAAGTAAGTTTATTTAAATATGTTTCTAATAGAATTTAAAATATAATTGAAATAATAAATCTTATGTAATAGTTTGATGTTTTATTGTGGGATGGTAAAATAGATTTGTAGCTTAGTTGGATGATTTTGATGAAGTTTTGTTGTTTGAGCTGGACGGTTTGGTCGTGGAGCTTTCATTCTTCTTCTGAATGATATCATCAACATAAACGTCGACCTGAAGTTGGTGTTTTGTTGTTTTATATATTTAAAACGAGATTTTATTAATCACTATTCGATTATAGGTATGAATTCTTAAAAACAATAATAAATTACATATCAAATACATCTAATTGAGGAGTCCTAACTAGAATGAAAAGCTTATCTTGGATTTAATTGTTAGACACCATCTAACTCTTCTGAATAATATCATATATGTTGAATAAATTAGTAGCTATCATGGCTTATCAACCTACTTAATAGTTCACTGAAGTTGAAAGCGTTAGGTATAAATTATAGAATGAGTATCAACTGTCGATTTCTAGATAAAATAAAACAGCCATTGAACTTTATTACTAGTCAATATCTGAAAAATATGTAATTGATATAATGAAACCATTTAAAGTTAATTCATGACATATTGTTTTATGTAATACTACAGAACTTGATAAATATGAAATTATTAAAAGAGGTTTTGTGGAGAATTTAGTAATTTCAATAGTTGAAATCATGAGTCAATTGAAGCTAGATCACAATAGTAAACCTGGAAGCACTGGACGGCCGTTTCGTCCTAGTATGAGACGACTCAGCAGTTTGCATCCACGACCCCACCCCGCGCAAGATTCGAACCCAGGGCCTATCAGTCCTATCAGTGTTTCCAGGTTCTCCATGGTGGTCAAGCTTTAATTGACTCATGAGTTCAACTATTGAAATTACTATGATCTCCACAAAACCCCTTCTAATAATAATCATCTGCTCACTAATGACTGACTTAAAGAGGCATTTCCTGGAGTTCTGGTGAGAAGACGTGACCAGAGGAGTTCAAACAGGTCTGTTGTGAGATATCAGCTCACTGAAGACAATGGTGTACAGTGGCTCAATTTCGTGGATTGGTTGAAGTTAGACGTTTCACCGTCGGATACCGGCCAGCTCAGTGGATTAATGGTTAAGTGCTCTACTGGTCACTGTTCGCGCGCGAGACTGATAGATCCTGGGTTCGAGTCTCGCGGGAGGCGGGACCGTGGATGCAAACTGCTGAGTCGTCCCATACTAGGACGAAATGGCTGTCCAGTGCTTCCAGGTTTTCTATGATGGTTTATCTTCAATTGACTCATGATTTCAACTGTTGAAATATGAAATTGTTTCATCGTGACTAACTTTGCTGAATTTTTTATTGTGATGAATTCAATTGTCATATGGTCTATTATTATTTAAACAACTATATGCATTAAATCATATTATGTTAACCTTGTTAGGTATTTTGTGACCTTTTTATGTTCGTTTATTATCTGTAACCGTGTTAGTGATAATCATGTACGTTTCACATGCGTATGGTTGATATGTGTCTGTATATTTATACTCAAATTGGTTACCTGAAGTTTATATAGTATTAGCCTTACATAATGACTGAATCATCCTTTATTTATTGATTTCCATATTTACCCTTTCTGCCTATCCTCCAAACACATGCTTGTATGAAAATTTGTGTGTAAAAAAGCTCTCATATTCGACTTCTGATTTTTACGTTGTATTAATGTAATTTATAGACGGAAGATTTATGAAGCTAAGTAGGATATATGCATGCAATTATTGTCATCAATATTAGAGTCAACGTTGACATTTCTCAGACTAGTATAAATCGTTTCTTCAAAAAATTGTCGAGCAAATAATTGAATTGCATCTACTCGCAATTTTTGAAAACTTGTTGTATTTATATTCTAATGAAGTGTCTTACGCTAAACATCACAAATTCAGTTTCCTTCTCATAAAGGTATTGCAAATATATCATTATTGTTATTAACAAACAATGCATTCAATGCTGAATTTATTCGAATTATTAAGTCGAACCACGGTAATGATATTTACCAATAACTGTGATTTCTGATTATTTTCAACTCACCAGGTACATGTTAATGTACCTGAATTCGAGGCACACTCTAAGTGTAATTGCTACTATGTAGTTTTCCTAGCCGAAGTAAAGCTTTGAACCTAGTGTTTGAGGATTAAATGCCTTGACCACTAAGCCAAAGGTGATTCTAGACACATAGTTTAAAGCCATTATACGAATAAACATTTTGAGACTGGAAAATAAACGTCAAGTACATACTCTTTGAGAATTAATCCAACGAAATAATCAGTTCTCTAAACCCAACAATTTTACAGTTTTACTGAAATTAAGGGATTATACTTTGAGCAATTGGACCACACATATGCTTGTCCAGATGTAGATAACGTAGTTTAGAGTTGAAATGAATACTTGACACAATGATAATTCAGCTAAGCTCACCGCAGTTGAGGAAAAACACAATTTATGATGCAGCACAAAACGACGAAGCATGCGCCACTATATTTGTCCACTTATATATGTGTGTGCACACACGCATAAAATGACGTAACTGTGACGTGTAACTGAGGCTTATGAGACCCACAGCTAAATGATGATGAAAGCCAATCAAAATCAACACTGAGATATCTATGTAAAACAAACATTAAAATTAATCCATTTTCAGGCATATTAGAAACAGCCTCTGAAGTTGATTGATAAGACCTTTCGTAATAGTGAATGTTAGTAGTTGAGGCAGTAGATTCTTAGATTTTACAGATGGAGGTCCTACTGTTTTGTCTTGTACTCCAACAAAATTCATATATATATATATATATATATATATATATATATATATATATAACCCATCAGACAGATTAGCTGCGGTTTACATTTATGATTAACATGACTGCGTAACACCCCCCGTAGTCAAGCTTTTCGATAATCTCTAAAATTCAACAATGTATTAGCGATTGAAATTATTGACGAAGATAAACTTTACGACTAGGTAATAGGTATTTACAAATTTTAATATTTACCAATTGTTATCTTATTTTGTTCAATAAAAAAATCATACCATAGGGTTGTATTGCAAATTTCCAATTGGATCACTATCCAACAATCAATCTTCAACAAATGGCCAAAATTTATCCGAGTCCTGATTGTAACGATCATATAGTATATGGGTGTGAATCAATGACGTCTGGTTGTGCATCATCACAAAATAGAAATAATATCTATCCATTTCAGTCAAGTTTCCATGATTTCGAATCTAGCGATGATTCGAGAAATGTATATATGTGTTATAATGATGGAGAATGTTTCGACAGATTGAATACATTTTATTGTGCATGTGATTTGACTACGTTTCAAGGTCATCAGTGTAACGAAGGTAAAGTTATTTTATTTCAGTTAAGAATTTTATGGATCGAGATTAGTTTTAACGCTCAATATTCAATAAGTGTGTTGTATCCAGCAATTTTGACATTTTCGTGCTCGGTTAATGAGTGAGTGTCAGATGTTAGAGTGTAATATTTATTAGAACTTTCATTTCTAGCCCTAATTTTTATGGATGTTCTTCATCCAAACTGTTGGACTGCGCTACACTGACATGTTAATTACAGGCAGTAGAGGATAAATTCAGACACCTAAAATGAAGTTTTTAGTATAAAAAACTGTACTCAAAATTTTCAAAAGTGCAAGACAAAACTCACTAATTGAATATTGATAACGTTGTGAATAATCTCAATCATTTTATTGTCAATAAAATTAAATAAACATAATAAAATAAACTGAAAATTTAGTGCCTTTTAGTGAATTCGTTTAGCAAGTGAACTAAACGTGTCGGTAGTCGAGTACAAGTTTTAGAAGGCGGTCTGTCAGTTTAAAACACTGTAAGACATGGCATAAACATTGATCAGTTAAAACTGGCAAAACACTATCAGCGCAACTATATTGTGAACATGATAGTAGTGTCTGTAGTTGTGCAAACTACTAAATATGAAGAATATGTTTTGAAAACGAGTAAATTTTTCAGAACACTACTGAAACCTAAGATGTAAGGGAGGATGAAGAATGAGTGCATGTAGAGTAATTTGTTTACAAATATGTTAAGATAAACCCCTCTTATATCGAATTTCTACGATACAAAACTAATGCTAGAAATTATGTCAAATAAACTGTAGTCATTTAAATTGAAGGATGAATTCATGAGATCAAAGTATCGTTGTATAAAAAACGATAAACTAATATGTTTTATTTACAATTAAATTCATCGACAGTCTTTATGATTAACTCACTCTATTCATTTAGTTATGCTTATGTAAATTACAATAAATGTAATTGACATTACTTACTTACTTACGCCTGTTACTCGCAATGGAGCATAGGCCGCCGACCAGCATTCTCCAACCCACTCTGTCATGGGCCTTCTTTTATAGTTCCATCCAGTTCTTGTTTATTTTTCTCATGTCTATCTCCATTTCCCGGCGTAATGTGTTCTTCGGTCTTCCTCTCCTCCTTCAGTCTTGAGGATTCCATGTGAGGGCTTGTCTCGTGACGCAGTTCGATGCATTCCTCAATGTGTGTCCTATCCACTTCCAGCAGTTCTTCCTGATTTCTTCCTCCACCGGAATCTGGTTTGTTCTCTTCCTCAGTAGGTTGTTGCTAATAGTTTCCGGCCAACGGATCCGAAGTATTTTGTGCAGACAACTGTTAATGAACACCTGTATCTTCTGGATGATGGCTTTCAATGTTTTCCGGGTTTCCGCCCATACAGTAGAACTGTCTTGACATTTGTATTGAAAATTCTGACCTTGGTGTTGGTTGATAGTTGTTTTGAGTTACAGATATTGTTCAATTGTAGATACGCTGTTCTTGCTTTGTCGATCCGCGCCTTCATATCTGTATCAGATCCACCGTGTTCATCGATGATGCTGCCCAAATATGTAAAGGATTTTACATCTTCCAAATCTTCTCTGTCAATTGTGATTGGATTGGTACATGTTGTGTTGTATCGAAGAATCTTGCTTTTCCCTTTGTGTATATTGAGACCTAATTCTGATGAGGCTGCTGCTACACTGGTCGTCTTCTCCTGCATTTGTTGTTGTGTATGCGATAGAGGAGCCAGATCATCTGCGAAGTCTAGATCATCCAATCGCATCCTAGATGTCCACTGTATTTCGTGCTTCCCCCGAGATGTTGACATCTTCATAATCCAGTCGATCACCAGGAGAAAGAGAAAGGGTGAGAGTAAGCAACCTTTCCCGACACCGGTATTTACTTCGAACGACTTTGTCAACTGTCCTCCATGAACGATTTTGCAGTTTAATCCATCGTAGGAATACCGTATGATAGTGACTATCTCCTGAGGCACGCCGGAGTGTCGAAGAAGCTTCCATAGGGTTGTTCTGTCCACGCTGTCAAGTGCTTTTTTGTAGTCGATGAAGTTGATATAGAGTGATGAATTCCATTCAATTGATTGTTCTACAATGATCCGTAGAGTTGTGACTTGGTCTGTACACGATCTATCCTTACGGAATCCTTCCTGTTGGTCGCGAAATTGGGCGTCTACGGAGTCCTTCATCCTGTTTAACAATACCCTGTAGAAGACTTTTCCTGGTATTGAAAGAAGAGTGATTCCCTTGTAGTTGTCACAGTTGCTGTGATCGCCTTTCTTTGATATTTTGACCAGAAGTCCTTCTTTCCAGTCTGTTGGTACTTGTTCCTCATCAAAATTTAATTGAAAAGAATGTGAAGTATCTTTGCGGTTACTGTCACGTCTTCTTTCAGTGCCTCTGCTGGGATGTTTTCTGGTTCTGCTGCTTTTCCACACTTAATTTGTCTGACGGCCATTCTGATTCCTTTAATTGTTGGTGCGCCAACATCGAATCAGAGATCCGTGAGTGCTGCTTCGATGTTGGGTGGGTTCAGTGGGGCTGGTCGATTCAAGAGTTCTTTGAAGTGTTCTACCCACCTGTTTCGTTGTTCTTCAATGTTGGTGATTATCTTGCCTTCCTTGCTTTTCACTGGTCGTTCTGGTTTACGGTGATTTCCAGAGAGTTTCTTTGTTGTGTCATACAGTTGTCTCATGTTTCCTTCTCTTGCAGCCTTTTCCGCCGTCATTGCTAAGTCTTCCACATATTTACGTTTGTCAGTTCTGAAGCTCTTCTTCACTTGCTTGTTTAATTCTGTGTATTCAGCCTGTGCCTTGGCTTTTTCTGCTCTTGTTTGACTGGTATTGATTGCTGCCTTCTTGTTCCTCCTTTCCTGAATCTTATCCAGTGTATCGACCGTGATCCAATCCTTGTGATGGTGCTTTTTTGGCTCAGAACCTCATGACATGTTGAAGTGATTGCCTCTTTTATCTCTTTCCAGTTGCTCTCCATAGTAGTTCCTTCTCCATTGAGTAGATCATGAAAGGCCTGGAACTTATTGCTGAGGGTTGTCTTGAGTTCATTGAGTTTGTCACTATCCCGAAGAAGAGCCGTATTAAACTTTTGTGATATTGTCCGCCCTGTTGTCCAGTGCTTCTTGAGCTTCAATTTCATCTTGGCGAACAGCAAGTGATGATCTGATGCTATATCTGCTCCTCTCTTTGTTCTCACGTCCTCCATCGTCCTCCTGAACTTTTTGTTGATGCAAATCTCTCATCATTATCGTTCCTCTCTCCTAGTCTATGTCGTCCCATGATCTCTTTATATCCTCTGTTGTCAATTCCAACCTTGGCATTTAGGTATACCATCAGAATGGTCAGGTTATTTGTTGAGCACTTCTCGACGATTGACTGCAGCCTATCGTGGAATTGATCTTTAGCGTTTTCATTGTAGTCGTTGGTAGGCGCGTAGCATTGGATGACGTTCATTGTAATGCACTTTTTCTTTGTTTTTAAGGAGGCTTTGATGATCCTTGGTCCATGAGATTCCCATACTATAAGTGCATTTTGTGCTTGTTTGGACAGCATCAATGCAACTCCTTGTGTATGTGGGGCATTTCCTTCTTCATGTCCGGAGTTTAAAAGCAACTCCCCTGAAGCTAGTCGTTGTTGTCCCACTTGCGTCCAATGTGTTTCACTGATCCCAAGCACCTCTATGTTGTATCTCCTCATTTCTGCAGCAATTCGGAAAACTTTCCCAGTCTCCCACACTGTACGAGCATTCCATGTACCTAAATAAATGGTTGCTCTGGTTGTCAGAAGGGGCATCGGCCTCGTGACTTCCGAAGAAACTCGTCTTTCATCATGAGGCGTCATTCTTCTTCTAAATGAAGACCTTCTGATTCCCAGGGAAGAGTTTAAATGGTTTGAATAGTTTTTTCTGGTTAGCGTTTTTTTAGCGAGTTAGTTTTCTACGGGTTGGGGTCGCTAACCCCATGCCTTACCCTACTCCTTTATCCGGGCTTGGGACAAGTAGTGGCCCCCGGAAGGACTCCAGGTGGAGTTGTGATTGACAAACATCAGGATTTTTTTAGCTGAAATTCCACGACGATAGTGAATTTTATTTAGATTAACTGATCATGCGGTATTAGGTTAAGTACTTGAACTTTAAAAAAAAACCAAAGAAGATTTTTATATTGAAGCGTTGTTAACGTTTAAGGCACATGTTTACTAAGTGAAGTGACTGGGACATGATTAACGTATTGCTTACCTCGGTGCTCTGTTTTTAATGTAGGAGAAGCTAGATGAAAGCTGGGAAGTTGACCGAATCAAGTTATAGCATCAGTCTATGAAGTCACTTTTTACTGAGCTAGATCGTATTGGTTGGTTCAGATTATCTGGTTTAGGTCCACGCGATTATTCAACTCCGTGGTTGAAGATATTAGGCGACATGGCCCAGAATCGGCCGAAATGATACAGATCAATTTACTATCGGTGATACTACAAGTAGTTCGACTCCGTTATTATTTGGGAAGTTAATTTTGTCGCATCACTTTGATATGGTTCAACAACTATGTCCCAGATTCTGAGTGATTTATGACTAACCGACTGGTAATTTTCTTGCTGATATGTCAATTAACTGGTTATGGTGTTTTCTGAAGTGATAGCTGATCGCAGGAAATGTATCACAACTGACTACCGGACACACAATTTTCACATCGTCATTGATTTTAGTCTCCTCATAAGTAATTCCATTCAATATACTCTGTTCATCATATATGAATTCAAACCACAGTTCTAATTTTGTAATTATTTTACACTACCTGACGATTTCTTTTCCCAATTGTGTAATGAAGTATAATTGTGAATATTATTACAGGGGTTTTCGGAAACTATTAAATTTTTTAGTTAAGATTGCGGATTTACAATCATTATAAACTAGGAATCACTGGACAGCTTCCCGTCTTAAACGATGTGCAATTATAACCTAACTGAGGATCGGACCCAGGATCTTCAGTCTCGTGGCAAGCGCTTAAGCTTAACATCACTGAGATGGCTTTCAATAGTTTACATGTCTAATTTTAATACTCATTATCATTTGGAGTGGACGATACAACTATCCAGTACCTTCTCATCTTTAATAGTTATCTAACTAAGATCAATCTGTGATGTCAAGTATACTTGTAAAACTATGAAGTAAACGTGAATTTTGTTTATTTATTCAAATAATTATTTCTTCTTTTTTTTTTAATAAAATATTATATTTAACTAGTTGGTACGGCTTTGCATTTTGGTAAAATTGGTTTAATCAATGCTCATTTGTTCAATTCTAATGAAACTTTAACTAATGCAAAACAATATACTGGATTTGTACAATTTGAAATTGAGTACAATGATTTATATACCGTAAATGATATATTCACTTTAGGACTACAATTAGATATAAAAAGGTTGCATCATACAGACAAGTTGATATCAATCGATAATGATTTTATCACTTTGTTATTTGCTGGAAATCAATTTCAAAATAACTCAAATTATCTTCATGTCTACTTGGTAAGTGGATGATTATGTTTGTATAGCTAGATTACATTTGATAGACTAAATTATTAAGAACTCTCAAGGTAATATGTGCCTATTTACAAAATATGTTGGTGAGATGTTTTAACGTGTTGATAAAACACTAACAGTATGTAATCCAAGACGCTCTTAGTAAAATATAAAGTTAATTTTTCGAGTGTATTATTATTTTCATTCAGTTAGAAATACTGGGAACTTTTGCTTCTTGTCGATTATTTACAATGACCTAAAAATGAAGGTGACACAGGATCTACCTATGTCAGTCAGGATATGGACTAGGCTGTTTGTGAATAGTTTAGACGGTGAGATCTTATGTTTCGGGGATACTCTTATGTATCTATTATGTCCTTCTAGACATCGTAAAAAGATAGTTTCACTTCTTTTGGACATAATTTATTTCACTCATGGGTGTTTTAGAGATAACATAAGGGACTAGATGTATCGATTTGATTTTAGATGACTGGAAATAGTTGATGGAAAAATCAAAGTTTTAGATTTCATGGTGTTTGGTACTTATTATCAAGGCAAACTTGTATTAGATAAATATGATATTGACCATTACTCAGTGATTAAAGAATGTAAGAGTATTGTGCATAATGGAAGAAACCTAGATTTGTCAGTAAATCTAAATTTCACTTATTATACAACAGATCTCAACATGTTCTTATGACTATTTTCAAATGAAAATATGTACATGACACTAATGTATTAATTTTTCCAGTATTTATTAATTCCGATTGCATTTTATAGTATAGGACCATTATTAATCCATATTTATTAAAAATAAATAATTTAATGCTTACAGGAACAAGGATATTTAAAAATGAAATTTTTATTGGATGGTTCAATGATTGTTATTGATGGTCCAAAAATCAATGTACAAGATGGATATTATCATAGGATTCGGGGAATTAGATCCAGAAATCAGATTCTCCTTGAAGTTGATCAATATCAAACTGTTTATCGTTTGTACAGTAGGTTAAACATTTATCTATCATTGATTTTTCTTAAAATATTCTATTGTCTACAGTTCAACCAGGTTATTAAAAGAGAAGTGGATTTTTTTAATTTTACAGCACTCTTTCATTTGTACTAAACGAGTTTTCGATGAAAATATATTCTCATACGAAATGTAGATTGATAATTTGCATGGTCATTGAGTGGTATTGTAGATTGCTCGAAGTTAGAGATTTAAACCACTGGATACCAGCTTGGTGATTGAAAGTTTGAGTATTCTTCAGAAGAGATAAGCACCCTGGGTTCAATCCCCATTACGGTTCTGGGTCTACACTACTGAGGATTCTAATAATAGGGCAACACAACTGTCCATTCAGAAAATACTTCAATTGCAAAATATCAGTCAATCGTCTCGGACTTCAGTGTTCCTTCGTTTCCACACCAATCAGTCTCTGTTATTGTTCTCTTTCTTTCTATCTTCTTGACCTTTTGCTGCTAGGTATTTCACTTTCAATTGATAATACATACTACTTATATCTATCATCATCAGTAAACACACCACAATAGTACCGATGATAGTAGGAAAGATTAGTCATAGACAATATGATTTGAGAAGTAAAAATGGGCTAAAATAACAGAAATTATTAGATAGCCTTAAAGCTCGAAATTTAAATGGAAGCAAAGAGTGAATGCATATGATCCATTGTGATTTGTTCTAACCCATTTCAAACAACGTTTCCGACCATTGGTTTCAATAATCGTGCGAACCCTGATCAGTTAGCGTTTATTTACCTAGCAATTATAAATTGCTTTACTTTTGTATTTACGGAAACATATCAATTTCTGATGTCCCCTAGTTTAAAACCTCTGTTATTCACTAACGCAATTTAGGTCGATAATTATATGCGAGAATTGGTGACATGTATAAGTCGATAACGATAACAATCAAATTAGAGTCAGATATCGGGCCACTAAATTATTTTGTTCAACTATTTCTTCTTACTCCATTTCAAGTTAACAAAGAGAACTGCAAGTATGAAGTGTAAGAAATTGTACTTTCAAAAAGATAGTTTTGTGAAAATACTTCATCACACTGAGTTATGCATAGCTACATTTTATGTAGCTATTACAAAGTATGAAAAGGGGTTTTCCCTTGGTTTAAGATATACAACAAATGTATCAAGTACTTGGAAATTGTATATTGAATTTGATAACGTTCGAAAAATAGAAATACTTTTAAAATAACTAATATTTCTAATTTACTTTATGTTGAGATATCGTTAAATAGATTAACAATACAAGAAAGAAAGACTATTTAGATCACTTCTTGTTTACATGTTAGACGATTGTGGGGCAGTAGGCAGAAAATCCTGGACCTATGTTTTTTGATTGTTGATACTTGTCAGCAAGGTATTTTCACCTTCTTTGTAGGAATCAGAATCTCACAGAGAACACTATTTTCCTTAATATTGCATATGTGCCTTAAGTGTAAGTGCGAATCAACACGAAACCTTGGTTAAATATTTCTTGCCATCTACTTCCATCCATTTAACATCAAAATACAATGCAAGTAATGTTTATTCATTTCAACAGGTGATCATATTGTACATGTTATCTAGTTTTAGATCCTTATCAAGGATTAAATAAACATAAGATTGATTACCAATCGATAATCAGTCAATGTATTCACTTTCATAGATATACTAGAAATCTGAAATGCCCATAACCTCAAAATATTTTAAGAAAACTAATAGTTAAAATAAAGTTTCTTGATCATTTTAGTTGATGAGGTTCTAATTAGTAAGACGATTCCTTAGATTTCTATCTTCCAGTTGTTTATTTCATACTTTAGATGAATTTACTTCACTTTTGAAAACACGTTATATATGGTTGGGTCATTCACCATTGTCAAATTATTCGGATTTCATACAAGGCTACGTAACAGGTATATAGTTTATTCCTTTTGATTCTGTGATTATACATATTGTTTTTTTATGCATATATTTGGAACGTCCAGTATATATGTTTTTGTGTACCGAGGAGAGTGTGAAAAGCAACACGTGTGAGAGAGCTGACGACTCAGTATATAGAATGAAATTATATTTATGAAAGAAGGTAATCAACAATGAATAGCAATAATACGAGAGTAAGACTAGAACAATCTAATAATTGAAACTAGGAATTGACAGCATAATGTTTCGAACGTGATAAATGTTGACAAATCTTGTAATACATATCAATACTAATTCATATTGCTTAGTTTTATATTGAGAAACCTCTTTTTATCATAGACAAACTTCAGCACCTTTATCCATTTGTCTTTTTTGCACCTATTATATTTATGATTTCATAGGAATGTAATGTTTCTTTAAGTAAAACGTTTTTTTAAAACAGTTCCATTCATTCAACGTTCTTTAGGAGATAATAGTTGAAATTATTTTGGCATTTAACGTGTATGATCTCTTAAAATGTCTATCAGAGTATAAATGGGTAATGAATAGCATTAAGAAAAGGCTAGTATAGTTTTCTATGACATTCTGTCTGTGAAAAAAACTGTCTTTACTGAAGTCAGGTTTTATAAAGCATTAAATATAGCTTAGTTGGTAATGTATCATTAATTCTTTGAATGTGAAAGTCAACTTTTGTGTTATATATATATATATATATATATATATATAACTTTATAATAACTGACTATAAGATTGTAACTGATTATTTTCTGGGAGTCTTCTTTTAAGAAATTTAAAACAATTAGTCCCTTTTATAAATTTCGATAATGTAATAAGAAGACGGAGATTATCAAAACTATGTGATATATTAGCGCAATACATTTCGAACAATCTGATCACACATATACTTGTTAAGAGCATTTATATATAAAAATAAAAGGTCAACTAAACTGGAAATGGGGTAAGAAGAGATAAAGATAATAATAAGAGTAATAATAATAATAATAATAATATTAATAATAATCTGAACACAATTCAAAACCTAATCACTCTGGATAATAAGTCAATATTACCAGGGTAGGTTTAAGGTAAGAACAAACTGTTTTTGAATACACAAAGGGGGTTTGAATTTTCGTATGGCTAAGGCTTCAATAAACCTTAGTATACGCCCTTTTACACTTTTATATAATACTTTTATATATAAATGCTCTTAACAAGTATATGTGTGATCAGATTGTTCGAAATGTATTGCGCTAATATATCACATAGTTTTGATAATCTCCGTCTTCTTATTACATTATCGATATTTTCTGGGATCCATGAAAAAATAATCGAAATTCCATTTAAATTTCATTGTTTACTAATTTTCTCAGGGAATCACTTATTGGTAAAGTACTTCATTTTCATAGTTTAAGCGACAAGCTGAATTTAGCGAAACGACCTTTAAAAATCAGGAAGGATTGGACAGCCGTTTCTTCCTAGTATAAGACTCCTCAGAAGTTCTGATCCATAACCACTCCTAAGATTTATCCTGGAACTTCGGACTGGCTCTGAAAAGTCGTATGTAACGACAAAATAGCTGTTCAGCACTTCCTGGTTTTGATTCGGGGTCTATCTAATGTTGGCACGTGATTCAAACCATGAGAAACCTATAATGCTCACTAACCATATGTATTAGAATACCTCGTTATTAATCTGTTTTAATTATGAATAAGTTGACTAATCTACAATTCATAGATCAAGATATCAAAGAAAACGTTTTTAGGGATAATACAGTCATCTGTAAGGGTTTGTATTTCCCCATCATTAATGCTGATGACAAAAGTTGGTCAGTCTTTATTGACATATGTGTATCCTGACTAGATCGTCCTTTAGTCAAGTTACTTTAAGTTCATTAGTGTTTATCAGTTGAATCTGATATTGTAGTGAAATAAAACACCAGTGGGGACAATCCAATGTATTTAACTAGTTAGTAAAATCAAACGACCATATATTGAATCGGTAATTTGCAAATTGTTCATCAATTATCTCAAATCACTCAGAATCCCCTTGTTCTTGCATTTTCATACAAATTGCCTTCTGTCTTCATTCTTTATTGTTCGATCTTCTTATCTCTCTGCCGCCAGACATTCTGTTCAGTGCTCACGTCATATACTACTTATGTCTACATAAGTAGCACACACCACAATATGACTATATAAATTTTCGTAATGGGACTCGAAACCGTTACCTTTTACTTCATTAGAGAATGGAAGAACACCTTTCTGTTTCTCATTATAATTGCATTTTCATTTTAGGGGTTTACTACAATGGATTACGGCTAACTGATCTTGCATCTGGTTCACAGTATCTGACATTTGTTAAAGTAACGCGATACGCTGAAGTAGAGTATACAAATACGTTTCAATTGAAATTAGGACCAAATAGTCCATTTTACACGTAAGTATTTTCTTCACTGCATAGGATAATCAAAATTATACAATATTATATACTATGGTTTCATACCAGTAATTTTTATGTACTAAATATTTACTGCTAACAGTCAATGTATGAAAGAGTATGGTACCTTTTAGAAGAAAAAAACATCACACAGCTTTCACAGTCGACATATAAATGATTTATTTCTAGTAAGAACGCCTAAAAAATATAGTTTAAAAGTAAACAACTTTGTTGAAGATAGTTTAAACAGCGATTCTCCGTTTTCAAATCTAAATTTAAACCAATCTTATTTACTGAGTTCAAGAAATGGAATAATAAAACAAACCATACATCTTTAAAGGCATTTCTAAATACGGATTAGTTTCAGCTAAGAAATCATTGAAAAGTATACAGCAAATAATATTATGTTACGTCCATTGGTTTGGCTAGCACTTGCAGCAAAAACAATTGAAATTTCCAAAATCTTCTCAAAACCCATTCTAATAATAATCATCTGCTCACTAATGATTTACTTAAAGAGGCATTTCCTGGAGTTCTGATGAGAAGACGTGACCAGAGGAGTTCAAACAGGTCTGTTGTGAGATATCAGCTCACTGAAGACAATGGTGTACAGTGGCTCAATTTCGTGGATTGGTTGAAGTTAGACGTTAACACCGTTGGATACCGGCCAGCTCAGTGGATTAATGGTTAAGTGCTCTACTGGTCACTGTTCGCGCGCGAGACTGATAGATCCTGGGTTCGAGTCTCGCTGGAGGCGGGATCGTGGATGCAAACTGTTGAGTCGTCCCATACTAGGACGAAATGGCTGTCCAGTGCTTCCAGGTTTTCTATGATGGTTTATTTTCAATTGACTCATGATTTCAACTGTTGAAATTTCTAAAATCTCTACAAAATCCCTTCTCATAAAAATTGAAGTTATACTTATAACCTTCAACTTATGTGATAAGTACGATACGTCTAAACTGATAAGTCAAAACGCTCATTAGTTCATATAGTCAAATTTTCAATCAAATTATTTGATTTAAAGTTTAATCTCATAGTTATACATTTTTGCAAAAATTGTTCCAATAGTGTACCATTGAGTGAAAGTAGATGAACAGCGATCATATTATTGGTGGAAATTGTTTAATACTTTGTATTACTCTAAAATGACTATTAAATAATTATTTCAGCTCACATCAAACCTGTGGAGTAGTAATATGAATAAGCAGATCAAAAACACTGTCAAACTTGAAGCACTTGAATTTTCATAGTTAGCATCAAGAATTAATATTAGTTAAACAACCATTTAAAACTAGAAATTGGTGGAAAGCTTTATCATCTTACTATGAAACTCTTAGTCATTACTTATTTACGACCTTACTGGCAATCAAACCCAGAAACTTCATTTCTCTTAGCAAGCACTGAACCATCAATTAACTTTTTTTATTTTAGTAAATCCAATTTACGGAAAAGTAAAAAACAATTACAACTGTCGAAATCTTCATCTTCGATCTTCAGTCCAGTTGAAATTTCAAAAGATTTTATTACAGATTTCAATATACCTAATACCAATGGAAATAAATGTTCAACATGTACAAACAAAGACAATTTTTCAAGGAATCCATCACCTTTTGTATCATCATCATCATTATCATATTCAAATGATTTATTATCTAATTCCGAAATTCAACCAACAATAATAACATTTACAAAATCATTAAACATTTGGTTATTTATTTGTTTAATTTTAACCGGTTTAATTTTAATTAGTTCATTTGGTTTCCTTATTTATCGTTGTACACAACATAGACATATTAAAGAATATGATAATCATATACCACAACATGAACAATCTACTTCGACAAATGAACCACATTTATTACAATCAATAGAGAATGTTAAAATTAATAAATTTAATAAACAAGAATATTATCAAAATAATCATTTTTCTCAAAATCAATTACAACAAAATATTTCATTATATCATACAGGTTATTTAAATGATCATAGAAAGGAATTGAATTCAATAATGCCTTCTTCATTTTTGATTCGTAATGATCAATATGCAAATGATAAAATTGATAGTTTACCAACATCTTTATATATAGATAATGAAACACTTTCAAATCTAAATGAAACTCATACTAGTCAGAATAAATTACAAGATGAGTTAAATAATCAACAGATTGATGATTATAAATTAGATAGATATGTAAATTTATCTACTTGGTCTACAATACGAAATAATAATAATAATAATAATAATAATAATCTCAATGGTAATTTCTTAAAACATTCCAATTTCTTTACTTATCATCCTCATCGACATAATTTACACAAATCTAGTATAAATGATTTTACATTTGTACAAAGTAGACAAGCAATATAAGATATATATATATATATATATATATATATATATATGTTTGTTTGATTACATGTCTGCATGTTAGGTTAATTATATAATATTATGTTTTGGTTGTTACATATTGATGTAATAAAACATAATTTATGTTACCTCTTTGTATTTATGCTTTGTTTTTCGGGTATCTTTCAAAAGCTAAACAAAAAACAGATAAAGCTATTCAACAGGGTATGCTGATATACTATTTGATCAGTAAATATATTAAAATATAATTTAGAAAAGTTGGATACTATAAAGCTCTTTTAATTTCCTCGTATAATTGTTTTGTTTTAAAGTAAATTATTCTATATTATTATATTACTATTATATAAGAGGATTATTTCTTTCCATGTTGTTAACCTTTATTATTGTGTGTACAAGTAAAAGTCTAATTTTCTATACACAAACAGTCTCTACAAAAAAATAATAATTCTGTTCCTATGACAACGAAAAATCACATTATTTTCAACGAATCATTATTCGATGTTGATTTTAAACAAGAAAACTTATGATTCTGTCATTCCAATCAACTAAATCATATTCATCATCTCTGTTATATTTAATGAAATTGTAGTACATTTTCTATGAAATAATTTGTTTTATTGGTTTTTATTATACACAAAATGTAGTAATCCGGTTTATAATATAACTAATCCGAATACAAATTCAGGGAAATACAATAATTGTAATGGATATAGAACTATACTTAGTTAAAATGCATATGAATAATAGCTAATGTAAACATTTAACAAAATTAAAAAACAACAATAGTTCCCTTTATTATCTTGAACGAAATCAAGCATAAATAATTGATTTGGTTTTGTAATGTTTCAGTTGTAAATTGTAGTGAACGATAACATATGTGAGGACAGCCGAATTAGTAAAATCTGAGAATCATACAATAAATACTTAATTAGCAAAATGTCAATCACTTGTGTCAAAGTTGACTGGCCCTTTTGCAAATATCAGTCAATCATCTCATATTTCAATATTCTTACATTTCTATACCAATTATTTCTGTTCCCATTCTTTCTTTCTTGATCTTCTTAACCTTCTGTTGCCAGACCTTCTATTCCTGACTAGCATTATATACTGTTTATGCCAATATAAGTAACACGAACCACAAGGTAACTGACGAGAGTCTAACAAAATTGAATAAACATATTATTCAGTTAAAATGTTAGATTCTCATTATCTGCTATGAGTTTTTCATAATGGGAAACAATGAATTTGCGTTATTCACACTAAATATGCTTCACTTTCAACTGAAAATACTAATTTGATTTTAAATTTTTGTACCGATTATCAGGTACTTACAACATATTTTCAATGAATATATTATCAAAATTGTAATAATTATAAAATGTTTCTGATATGAAGAGTCAATCACAAGTAGAAAAAGGTCAGTCGATGGCAATTAGAAGTAACCTAAATGTCAAGTGCATTTCATTGGGATCAATGAGTCAATTTTCTAAGGATAGAGTGGCATATATATGAATGAGTATTTGTACATTCAATTCGGTAGTCCAATACACTTTCTCACTCAAGTAGTCAGTTGGGGGGTTAGCAAGTAGCACACCATGTATCAGTATCAGATTTCAGGTGCTCCTGAAAACTGAATGTTAGGTTTTTTTAATGAGCTTTAAAAGTGTAGAAACTAATATGTCGAAGAACTGTTAATTACTTGAAAATATAGAAGCATGGATATACCTTAAAGAGCCTTCTTTTGGACTAAATTGCTCATTTAAAAAAATCTTATTTCATAAGAATAATCTTTTGGATTTTTGCTTCGTCGGTTAATTTATGAATATAACAGTATTATAAGAATAGATTGAATTACTTATCATTCTAAGCAGGGATACAAATACATACACTTTTCACAGATTTTACGTTCAGTGAACTGGTTGGTCTGTGATGTTTGTATTATCATCTTATGCAGTATCATTAGGAAATACTTCAAGAAGCAGTAAATTATTCGAATTTCTTCACGGCTAGCCAAAAGCTCGTTTTATTGACTTGAAATTTGAATTATTGTTTTCCATAATTAAGTTGACGTTCTTCATATCTTTAATTTGATTGGCTTTCCCTTAAATCATATCACTAACCTTTGAGTTTTTCATACTTTTTCTTGTTGGCTAATAAATTGGATCGACGTTGACATATCGGTTGATTGATGAGTGACCTGAATGTCATACTTTAAAAATAATTTGCTTGTGACTTCTGAGACACTCACTTGTGGAGTTGGATTGTCCTCTCGGAAATTGTAACCACTGATTTTTTAAAGAAATGCAATCAAGACTTTACAAACAAACTATTCCTTTCAAATAACATAACACATCCGGAACCCACCTACTGAGCCACAATTATTGTTCATTACCACAAAACACTAATATTTAGAAAAAAATGTTTTGATAGACATATAAGTGCTTCCCCCTTCGAAGTAGTCAATTTCCGATGTTTAAATAACGAAATGTTTGACTAAATAAACAAAAATTATTCAAGAACTAGAATGTAACTTGATGATAATTCACTGATGTGGGTACAAGCACAGTAAAATCAAATTATACATAGTGATCTTCACTGTGAATCAACTTTTTTCTAAGGTGGTGGAGTGATTCGCAAACAATTTTTTTAATCCATCTATATACCGAAAATTACCAAAAGCTTACTAATATCTAACCTCGAGTGGTGATTTCCGAAGTGCAGGTGAGAAACCGTGACTTCGGAGTTCAGTCATATCAAGTTTGTGGCAGTTAGCTACCAACAACTAATGTCGTAATCGAAAGTCTAACTGACTGCAGTATCAGTAGCCTGTGATTTTCTTTTCTTTTCCCAATAATCAGGAAAGAGTAATCATTATTAAATGTACCTGTTAGTCAGAAACGTTCAATTTAGTGACATTTTATTTACTGATGTCAAGAGCTGTTCAGTTTAATGTTTACAAATGCAACTATTAATCAACGTAGATAAGATAAAAACCAATATATATTCAGATATTATTCTTTGATTAATTTTTAGCATCAAACAAATCACCAACTACCGTCTTCGTATTCCCACTTAAGTCATTCTATTTGCGGATTTTCAGTTATTGTGCTAAGATCTTGCTCAGATACAATAAAAACATTGGAAGATGACTACTCATTAACACAAATTGTTAAAAGTTAGAAATGTTCACCAGTGATCAAAAGGTTAAACGTTTTCCAAAAGACCTGACTGTCTTAGGTTCGATTGCAGGTGGAGTCCTGGGTGTGTAATACTGGGAAGACTTATATTATAAGTAAAGAAATATAACATGCTTACTGGTTTCTAATAGTTGTTTAAAATCAATCTGTGAAGTCAACCATGAAATAATCATTCAATACGTACGAATTTTTAAAATATGTAGGCAAAAGTGTTTGAAAAAGGTGATATTCTCAGAAATCAAATTTTTGTCATTACTTATTAGCAAAATGATCAAATTCGACTGACAAAAGATTTATGATACTTTTTAAACGTTAATATTAAATTTGGCTTGGAGAATCCCTTATCACACCGTTCTCATCTGTTTCAGAAATGTAATGTAGTTTCGTTGATCAAAAGTAAGTTAAAATTTTGTCTTACACGTTTTTACATTTGTAATCACGTAGTTTACTAGCAAAACGGATGATAAATGTTATTGGGCATTGAATTTGATAAACAAAGACAACCAGAAAGTAAGATAAGCAAAATGCTGAAATTTTTACGTATAATTGGATAGTGGCTAGTAGTGAAGTACAGGAAGCACGTCCCATCCTTTTTGGGACTCGTCGTTTGGATGTACTGTAATCCCAGAATTATTGTTTATTCCTGAACACATTCCGCATGTAGTAGGAGAGAATAAAAAGTGACTGTACTTAAGATAAATAGCTGGACAATTCAAATATATGAGTAAATTGGTGATAAATTGAATGTAGTAAATATCAGTAAAAATATCATTTCAAAATAACCAACTCAGTTGATATCTTTTTGTTTAGCATAAAACGATTTGTGAAGATCATAGAATTTTTTGAGTTTAGATCACAAACTGGTCTAAGCTAGACCACCATTGAAAACCTGGAAACATTAGATGACCGTTTCGTCTTAGTATGAGACTTCTCTGCATTGAGCACACACGGTCCCACATGCGGGACCCAAAACCATCACCTTCTGTCTCACACGCAAATATTTAACCTATAGACCACTCAGTTGTGATTCAACGGTGTTAATATCTTACCTCAATCAGTCAACGATATTGCATGATCACATTTCATTGTCTTCGGTGAGTAATTGTCTCTCATCTGACACGGAGTGTCTCCTCTGATCACTGCTTCCCATCAAATCCTCGAGGTTTTCTTGTCGAAGCTAGCCACTAGTGACCACATGATAATTTTCCTTTAGTATGAGTCCAGCGTGTGGGACCATGAGTGTGCACAGCAGAGAAGTCTCATATTAGGACGAAACAGCTGTCCAATGTTTCTAACTTTTGAATGGTGGTCTAACACTGATCGATTCATGATCACAATCAAAACTCAATAATTTACACATCCTCATACTAAAAATAATATAATGACCTGTATTACCTGGTTAGGTGCACATGATGCGAAAAGCTCAGCTAGGAGTTCTTTATGTTTGACTGATGATGCATCTGGTGACACTATTACGTTAGTTTTGGTTAACTATTGAATGACCTCAGATCTTTTATGTCCGTATTTTAATGAATAATAAGCAAATAGGTAGTAATAAGGACCGGTTGTTACAAACGAAGAAAGGGAAGAACCTGAATAATGTTTATATTCAGTTTAAAAATAAAGTTTTATCAGAAGTTTGTTCACAAACGTTAAGTCACTTTTCGCAAAAATCCGATAAATGTCTATAATTAGTCTTAAGAATGACCTGTTACAGGAAGTCAGTTGTGGCCTGAATAGTTTATAGTTAAGGCTGATTAATAAATCGTATAATAAATAGAGTATTTACAATTTGAGTTATTT